ACGTGGCGATGGAGAGGGCGTCGTCGTTGCGGCACGAGCCCGACGACAGGTCAAAGTTGCGCTTGTGGTGCGGACATGAGACCCACGGCGCGGGCGCGTCCCCGTTGGTGTCCGCGACGGAAATGGTGCCTGTCGAGGACGACTGCCCGATGAGCCCGTCGGACAGGATGAAGGCGCGCTTGTGTGGACACATTTGCTGCGTAGCGTAGTAGCGCCCGCCGACGCGCCACACGGCGAGTTGTGTATCGCCGCGCTTGATGGTGGCCGAGATGCCGCTAGGCAGGTCGTCGGCGCCCGCGAAATGCGTCGCCGCAATGACTGGCTCCCACGCCGTGCTGGACCACCCTCCCTCCTCCTTGCCGGACAGCGTGCCGAGCGCCCTAAAGTCCTCGGTAGCGGGCTCAGCTGCCCAGTGCACGGGGTGGCTCTGGTCGCGGTCCAACTGCCGCTCCGTGCTGGGCAGAGCCGCGTCGGGCGCATTGTCAAACTGGGCAAAGCGCGCGCGAACGGTTGGGTCGGCAATGGCTTCGGCCCACTCGTCAAAGTAGCTGTCAACGAGCTCCTTCATTTGCGCCTCAAGGCTTGCGCAGATGCCGAGCTTGTCGTGTAAGATGACGTCTTGCAGATAGGTGATGCCGCCAGGCAGGCTGGTCAGCCACGGCGCCGTGCGCTGCAGCTTGTCGGCCGTACGAATGTACAGCATGAGGAAGCGATCGAGGAGGACAACGACGTCGGCGGGCGGCACGTCCTTGGCCAGGAGCGTGGCGTGCTTGGGGTTGGCGCCACCGTTACCCGCGACGTAGACGTTGTAGCCCTTTTCCGTCGCAATCAAGCCAAAGCTGTTTCTCGTCAGTATGATGCATGGTGGGATGGGGAAAGACTCCGGATACGTACTCTTTGCTTTGCGCTTCCGCACACTCGCGCACACAACCACTTACACCACCTTTGATCTTGTGCGGCGCGCGGATGCTCTTGTACCGCTCCTCGAGGCGCACGGCCAGACCGACCGAATCGCCGATACCGTAGCGGCACCACGTCGAACCGACGCAGCTCTTGACAGTGCGCAGCGACTTGGCGTACGCGTAGCCCGACTCGAGTCCCGCAGCGCCGAGCGTGGCCCAAATGTCGGGGAGGTCCTGCTTGCGCGCGCCAAAGAGATCGATGCGCTGGCCGCCGGTGATTTTGGTGTAGAGCTTGTACGACTCGGCGACGCGACCAATGGCGAGCAGCTTTGCGGGCGTGATCTCGCCGCCGGGTATGCGCGGCACCACCGAGTAGGTGCCGTCGCGCTGAATGTTGCCGAGGTAGCGGTCGTTGGTGTCTTGTAGGCCTCGGTGAGACGCGCTCAGGATGTGCTTGTTCCATAGCGAGGCGAAGATGCTCGCCACGGCGGGCTTGCAGAGCTCGCAGCCGACACTGCCGCTGGCGTGGGTGCTACTGCTGTTCTTGTTGCCGGCGTCGGCAAAGACCTCGGCAAAAGTCTTGTGCTTCTTGACCATGATGATGTTGAAAAGGTCGGTGCGGGAGTAGTTGAAGTGCTCGCAGAGGTAGTTGGTCACCTCCTGGCCCATGGCGGTCAGTGTCTTGTTGAAGATGCTCGTCACGAGCGGCATGCACCCGCCGCATCCAGTGCCGGCTTTGGTGCAAGTCTTGACCGAGGCAATGTCCTTGCACGCGCCACTCTGCACCTGTTGGACAACATCGCCTTTGGTGACATTGTGGCACGAGCAAATTTGCGTGTCGTCGTCCAAGTCATCGCCATCCTCCTCGCCGGACTTTTTGCCGACGATGAACTCGCTGGGCGATACATCGAGCTCCTTCATGTTCTTGACGAGCGGCACGACCTTGATGTAGTCGCTCGTGTCGCCAATCATCATGCCACCCAGCAGATACTTGCCATCGGCCGTAAAAATATACTTTTTGTACACGTTCTGGAATGGGTCCTTGTACGTGAGCATCTTGGCCTGCTTGTCCGCCGCCGTCAGGGCACCCCCGGCGCTTTTCGCCTTGGCATCGCGGATGTATTTCGGCGGCAGGTACTTGGGTCCGTCGCGATCGGCAAAGAAGTCTCCGAAGCTCGCCACGTCAACGCCCAGCAGCTTCAGCTTGGTGCTCACATCAGGGCGCTTAAAGACGCGGGGCGCATGCAATGCGGCCTGCGTCAGGTTGAATGCCAGCACATCGGCCATTTCCACACCAGGTGCGATGAGGCCGTACGTATTGTTCTGCCAGCTCGCGCACTCGCCGACGGCATAGACGTCGGGGGCGCTGGTCCGTAGGCTGTCGTCGACCGCGATGCCGCCAGACGCAGCGCAGTCGATACCAGCGTTGCGTGCGAGCTCATCGCGCGGGCTGATGCCAATGGCAAAGCACACGGTGCTGCATGAAATCTCCTCGCCGTCCTCAAACACGAGGCCCTGGACATTGTTGGCCGCGTCGACCTGGATGCGCTGCACGCGCTTGCTCAGCATCACGTCCAGGCCGAGCTCGCTGACCTGCTGCACCACCATACCTCCCGCGTCGGCGTCAAGCTGGCGGCTCATCACCCACTTGTTGCGCTCCACGAGGCGGACCTTGCGGTAGACTTCCAGATCCATCATGGCCTTGGCGGCTTCGAGGCCGAGCAGCCCGCCGCCGACAACGAGGCCGTCCGTCTCGCCCTTGTCCTTGGCAAAGGCGATGAGCCGGACGAGGTCGTCAATGGTGCGGTAGACAAATACGCCTTGGGCGTCATGGCCAGGTGTGTGTCGCGGCAGCAACGCATCGGAGCCGGTGGCGAGGACGAGGATGTCGTAGGGCACGCTGTGGCCGGTCTCACAGTGGACCGACTTGGAGTCGGTGTCGATGTCAACGACTTTGGTGCTGATGTGGCACGCCAGACCGTTTTTTGCCGTCGCATCGTACTAATAGTTTTTATCTTAGCAATAGTACATTTAGATTGTGCCGTGGTTCATACCCATTCTTGTGGATTGAGGTATAAATTGGGGATCTCGCGGTGGTTGAAGAAGCTGGTGAGTCCAACGCGGTTATATGCTAGATACGGCTCTTCGCCGAGGACGGTAATGTCGTATTCTCTTTCTTTTGTGTCGTATTTTATAATTTTTTCTCTGCTTCAAGTCAGACATGTGGTCAAGGAAGGACCGCGGGAGGCGGCTTACATGAATGAGATGCCGACCATGCCCAAGCCGACGACAACTAGCTTCTTGCGAGGGGGCTTGATTTCTTCCATGATGGCGAGTACGGTTTGGAAAAGTCGAGCTTTTTCGCAAGGCGACATGCAGGGAGCCTGCATCTTATGATATGCCGGGCTCCCCATGGGCGCAGCGGGCTGTCCCTGCCAATCATCATACGCCTATAACAAAAAAAAAACAGCGAGCGGTATCCCCCTCCCGCGGAGAAGCATCTTCATGGAAAGCCTCCAGTTATCGTATGGCCCAAGGCAATCAGTCATGCCTGCCTATACTAATAGCTGATAAGCTCAGGCCACCACCCGCCCGACAGTGCGGCGGCGCGATTCGGGGGGGGGGGGGGGGGCAAGAGGTTGTTGTGTCGCATGATAAGACTCGTCCCGTCTCCAGGAAACCCGGAGAAGTAAAGTTCAAGGGGTTAATCGGGGGTTCGTGACAGGGCAGCTTATCTGTGGACGCGGTTTTCACTTCTCCGATGAAAAGTCGTTTATCTTGGGGGGCGATCGATGGGCAAACGGCGCCCAGCGGCTGTGCGTATCAGCAACACCCGATTGGCTGGACTGGTATCTTGGAACGGCTGTGGGCGCAACGACCCTGTCGAGTCTCTTGGCCTTGCTCGGTTAAGCCTCGAGTATCAATTTTGCGGTAAACTGTTGTAGAATCACCAAAAATGGTTTACCAGAAATGCATCGTCTTGAACAATACCGCAGTATGTAATTACCTACTGTCGACGCTGCAGCCGCCTGCAGTCGTGTGGCGAAGCCAACCCCCCACCATCCCCCACCAAGAAGGCACCACTTTGATGCAGCCGCCTGACCTCATCCAAACCCTCTCTTGTTGAGCTGAGTTGCAGCCAACGCCACGCATTCTGAAGAACACAACTCCGGCGCGCCCGCCCAAAAGCCATGTCGCAACAACAACAACCCGCCGCCGGGGACTTCAAGTTCCCGCAAGAGTACTCTTTCCCAGCCTTCTTCACGCGCCAGCCCAACCTGGCCACGCACCACGCCCAGCGCCGGACCTGGACCGCGCTCGTGCTCGCCTACGCGCGGCACCACCGCCTCTTCCGCCTGCGCCTCTCCGAGGCCGCCGAGTCGGACCTCTTTTACAACCGCCGCCTCGAGCGCCGCCTGCAAGGCCCGGACGTGCGCGAGCTCGTCGACGGCATGGTCAAGGACGGCCTGGCCGAGTACGTGGCCGGCACCGGCACGCCAGCGCACGACGGAGCGCACGACGTGGTGCTGCTCTACTGGAAGAAACCGGAGGAGTGGGCCGCGCTCGTCGAGGCGTACGTCGAGGACACGGCGCAAAAGGGCAGCGTGCTGACCGTGTATGAGCTGTCCGAGGGCGACGGCACGCGCAACACGGGTATGTTCCTCCGCGTTAAGAAAAACAACACATTGTTTTGCTTCTTTTTTTTTGCATGCGTGTGTGTATGTGTGTGTGTGTGTGTGTGCTAACGGCGTCGCAGAGCTTCACGGCATTGACAATGAGATCCTGCGCAAAGCCCTCAACATCCTCGTCAAGCGCGGCAAGGCCCAAATATTCGGCCAAGAAGACTCTCTCGGTGTCAAATTCTTTTGATTTGATACTGACACGAAAAGCCAAGTACATGATCATTACAGCATTGTATATATACTTGAAACAAAGGGAAAACAGCAAAACAAGACAGGGAAAAAAAGATTCATCCGAAAACCCTCTATACTCCGGGAGATATAACCACCTGATGCTACCACACACACAAAGTCCAGCAAATATATAGACGAAGGAAAAGCGGCATACAGCCCCGGGGAATCTTGACAGTTTCAACTCTTAATCCTTCTGCCAAAAGTTTTCCACGGCAAACTTGGCATCGTACCGGACCTGCTGCGCCATGGCCACGTCGAGCAGCCAGTCGGGCGCCACAATGCGCGGCTCCATGTGGCCCTTGGTCGCCATCTCGCGGAAGCGCGCCCACATGCCCTTTTCGTCGGCGCTCACGCCGCTCAGCAGGTACACGGGGTCCGGCGGCGCGCCGCCATCCTGCTCCGCCGTCGTCGGCTTGATGGTCGTGCCGCTGCGCGCGCGGTAAATCTTGAAAATGGCCCCGTTGGCCTCAGCCACCGCCTGGTAGCTCTTGGGCCCGTTCTTGACGCCCTCGGTGCAGTACACGGCCACGCCCTGCAGCAGCCGGCCCCGGTTCGCCTTGGCCCGCCCAACGGACTTGCCCAGCGTAAAGTTGTACCGGCTCTCGGCCTCCTTGTCCTTGAGCGGGAACTTGCTTATCACAGGGAGCTTGCCCGTGTCGAGCGCGGCGTCGATGAACGTCGACGAAATAACCTCGGGCCCGCGCGCCAGGGCACACAGAAACTTGACGGTCCGCACGATATGCGGCGCCGCCAGGTAGTCGCACGCCTGCCCTTCCTGCACAATCTGGATACCCATATCACGCAGTTTTCGCTGCGCACAGTTAGCACATCTAGGCATGAAATAAATCCCATAGCACAACATACTCTATCGGCATCCTCCTTGTTCTTGTCCTCCAACCATCTCGTAAAGCCAGTGAGAATGATGCGCATCTCGACATCTGGCAACGATGGCCGCGCCTTCTTGCTGGGTCGCTTGCCCTCTTCGTCCTCGCTTGACTTGTCTTTCGCCGCCGTCTTCTTTTGCTTGGCTTCCTCTTCTTCGAGCTTCTGCTTCTCGACGAAATTCGCCGCCCGCTTGCCGCCAAACGGAGTCGTCGCCTTGCCTGAGCGCTTCTTCTCCTTCTCGTAGAGGGCAATGTCGGGCGCGATATTCTGCAGCAGATCTCTGGCCTTGGCCTTGGCGCTACGGCCACCCGTCGACACGACCGACGGCGTGTCATTCTCCTTGCCCGAGCGCACATGACGCGCGCGGACCGGCGTCTCCACGGGGACCGGTGCCGCCGCCTTTTTCGGTGGCGAGTTCTCGGCGTCCTCCTTGTCACCATCACCCTCCATCAGCACGTCCTCGTCCACATCCGCCGCCGTCTGCGCGACGACGACCCCGTCGGCCGGCCCGTTGTGGCACGCGTTGTCCTCGGCCGCCTCAAGGATCTTGCGCTTGCGCTTAGCGCTGCCTGTCATGAGCGCCTCGCCGCCCGGGTAATACAGCTCCCGCAGCCTGCCCTCATCCAAAAAGGTCTGACCGATAATCTCGCCCAGGTTGGTGCGGTGCGGAAAGTGGTTGTATTTGGGGACGTTGATGGGCTTCATCTGGCACTTGGCGTAGCTCTCCTCGATCCACAAGTGGTTGACGACGGCCACGCCCCATTCCGGCGCCGCCTTGCACTTTTCGCTCGAGTCGCGCGCCGTGATGAGGTGCGTGTTGTCCGACTTCATCGTCTTAGTGAACTCGGCGCCGCAGGCCTTGATCAGGTTCTCCAAGTAGACGCGCGCCTCGCCGCCGTAGTTGGAGACGGTGATGCGCAGGCCGCGGAAGCCCTCGATGCCGTCGCGCGGCGTCGGGTAGTGCAGCAGCCGGCGCAGCGACGACGTCCACGAGTTTTGCACAATGAGGTAGTAGAGCCATGAGAGGTTGCCGACGTCTTTGCATGACTGGCAGGCGCTCACATACTGCTCGCCGTCGCGGTACTGGCCAATGTACATGTCGCATGCATCCACCGTGTCCACCATTTTTCCGCCACCGTTTCTGATGATATCACGAATGGCTTTGGTGAGCCGCGGTGTGATGTTGAGATCAGCGCCGAGCAGCACCTTGCGCTGCTGAAACACGGTGCACGGCGGGCGCGCAACGTCGCCGTCGGGGGGTAGCGGCAGCCACTGCGGATTCGGAGAGGTGGCGCCATCCAGGTTGTCGTTGACCGGAATATCAATCTCGTCGTCAGAGGTCTTTTTCAGGATCTCGGGATCGGGCAGCAAGTAGGGGGACTCGTCAATTCGTTTGCCAAGCTTGAAGCAGTCGTCAAACCTGCCCATAGATTAGCAACAACCAAAAAAAAAAAGAGTCCTGCTCTCTTTCAACATCGCAGCACCGTCCACACTTACCAATGGGGCAGGACGACCTTGCCCTTCCAGCCCTTGGCGAGAGAGGCCTGCACCTTGGGGTGGTCCATGGACAGGGCGCACACGTGCGTCGTGATGCGGGTAGCGTCCTTGGTCTCCTGGCCGCCCAGGGCCATGACGGCGCCGAGGATGCTCTCCTTGTCCGTCACGGGCAGGTCGGCGCACGTCACCACCACCTCGGCGAATATGAGGCGCGGGTCGGGCGAGAACGGCCGCACCTGCGCGACGCGCCGCTTGCCGACCGACGCCGTGATCCAGTGCGTCGTCACCACGGGGATCATAAAGGCCTGCGACTCGGTGTACTGCTGAAAGTCGATGGTGTTGGACACGACGTGCGTCACCTTGTCCATGGCGATGGTGCCGTTGCGGCGCGGATCGAGAACCTCGGCGCCATTGTCTTGGAGAATGGCCGAGAGCTTGCCGGAAGAACGAGTTAGAGTCACTTTTGGGAAAACACGACATCAGCTGCGGTTTTGCGTACCTCGCTGATGGATTTCGGCGTAAGCGAGCTGCTGGGCACAAACGCGATGGCGCACTCGTGGAAGAGCCCCTCGCCCATGTCTGCGGTGGTTTGCAAGTCGTATAATCCGGTATTCAATTGGGCGTTTTCGCTATTCAATGAGCAGCATAGCGATTACAAGGGCGGGTTATCCGAGAGTGATATGTCCGAGTAACGAGTTTCGCCTAGTATGTTGCTCTCAGATGCCGTCGGCGGACTATTTCAGGGTTGATGCCTATTTGTTTGGCGACGCGCTAGAGGCGGCCACGACGCGAACCGCTCAGGTGGTCACCTGACGCGGCGCGTACCCATTAACGAACCTCATGAAAGTCGACACTATCGGAAGGTATTGGAAAGTAACCTAACAATCTGAAAAAAAAACTCTTTCTGGGGAGTCTTTTTTTTAATAGTATTCCTATTTACTAGTATCTCGCTGCCAAAGCGCCAAAGTGTGGAGATATACACGCCTACAAACTACCTTCAATTGCTCATGGGAGCAGCGCGACCAGTGAATACCGCAGCGAACGCGCGTTTTTAGAATTGTGATATTCATGTATTGAAATGAAGCGTTAAATCATAAAGGTAACTCCGCCTGATGCAGTTCTAAACTTCCTCCACTTTTATGTTTCTATTCAAGTTTTCTATTATGTACTTGCACTTCACGTTCAACCAGCTTTGCCGAGACCAAGAAGGACAAGATTCGCCACGTTCATGACGGCCATGACCAGCCACACGAGGCTTCCAAGAATAATGAGCCACCACGGGTTGGACATGTCGATCCCCGGGGTGTCGTCGTCGACGACACTGACCGTCTCGTCCTCGACCTGGTAGCGCGCCATGCCGGGCCGCACCGTCATGTAGCGGCTGCGGCTGGTAAAGTAGATGAGCGGGAGGGTAGTAAAGGGCAGGACCGTGCTAAGAATGACTTGGGAGGCGGTGAGGGCCGTGTTGAGGCCCTCGCGGCCAATGGCGCCGGCAATGACGAGCGAGGGCGCGACGCTGATGGACCGCGTAATGAGCCGACGCACCCAGGGCTTCACCTTCCACCGCAGCGCGCCCTCGGAGACCATCTGGCCGGCAATAGTGCAGACGATGCCGGCGGAGATGCCGGAGAGCAGCAGGGCCAGGGCGAAGATGGTGCCGACGGCGGGCGAGATGCTCTTGGAGAGCAGGTCGTGGATGCCAAAGATGTCGGCGTCGAGGGCCTCGGGGTTCTTGTAGAGCGAGGCGCCGGCGACGATGAGAATAGCCGAGTTGACAAAGAGCGCAAAGGTAAAGAGCGAGGTGCTGAGCTCGACGATGGAGTAGGTGAGGCAGTGCTTGATGGCGGCCTGCGAGGGCACGTAGACAATCTTGCTCTCGTAGCCGTCCTCGCTGGTGGACGCGTCGGGCTCGGCGGGGATAAGGCCCTTTTGCATGTCGTACTCGCGGAGGCGCGGCTGGACGATGCCGGACCCGAGGAACAGGCTGTGCGGCATGACGGTGGCGCCGAGGATGCCGCACGCCTGGTACAGCGCCTGCGGCTCAACGAGCTCCTTGGAGGGCACGAAGCCGCGAAAGACGTCGGCGACGCTCGATCCCTTGATCAGCGAGAGCTGGATGCCGAAGCAGACGACGACGCCAAGGACGAGCAGGCAGACAAACAGCTCAAAGAGGCGCAGGCCCTTCATGGCGCCGTCGGGGCGGTAAAAGATGAGGATGAACATGACGTCGACAATGGAGAGGGCGACGCCGGCGACGAGGGGCAGGCGGGGGATGAGCAGGTTCAGGGCAATGGCGGTGCCAATCACCTCGGCGAGGTCGGTGGCGATGATGGCGATTTCGGCGAGGGCATAGAGCAGGTAGTTGAGCCAGCGCGGGCAGTGGGCGCGGCAGGCCGAGGCGAGGTCGTTGCCGGTGACGGAGCCGAGCTGGATGGCGAGCGTCTGCAGCAGGATCGCGAAGAGGTTGCTGAGTAGGACTATGAAGAGCAGCTTGTACTGGTACGAAGCGCCAGCTGCGATATCGGTGGCGTAGTTGCCGGGGTCGACTTGAAGAGGTGTTAGCAGGGGGCAAGCAAATGCCAATTGTTTAGGGCAAGAGGAAGCAGTGGGATTTGGGGGGGAGGGTACAACATACTGTAGGCGACGGAAATCATGAAGCCCGGGCCGACAAACTTGGCATAGTTGAACAGCACCTTTTTTAGCTTGTGTAGCCGCGGCCGGACGTGCTCGTTGACGAGCCGCAGACGCATCGACGGCGGCGGTGCGGAGCGCCCCGGCAGCAGAGCGGTGTCGGTGGCCGAGCTGGTTGCGGCGGTAGACTGTTGAGCTGACGCGATGGAGGCGGTGCGCGCAACGGCGACACCGACAGTGGCGTCCTTGGCCATGGTGTTTTGTTGTTTTTACTTGGCGTATACTGAGCGAGGTTGTGCGGGTTTGGATATACGAGAGACTCAGGACCGTTGTTGGAGGGGTGGCAGTCTTGAGGTGTTGGTCGGGCCGCGACGTTGGGAGATTCCTTGTCCGCTGGCCATCAGTGTGAAGAAGAAGGGGGAGAGATTGGCGGTATGTTGGTGTTTTGGGGGACTTGAAGCTGTTGGGTGACGATTTTTGGTGGTGGTTTCGCGGTATATGTACTTCGTTATGTGGATGGTCCCGAATTTTTTTGCACTGAAAAGCCGCCACTTTTTGGCTTGCGCTAGGCTAGTTCCGCGTCGCACAATACGCCAAAGCTGAGCAAGCGGTTCGTCGAGCAAGCGGGTTCGGCCCCCAGAGCGACGAAAGAGTAGTATCCCCAAAGCGGTTTTCTGATCTATCAATAAAATATCGAGGGAAAAGAGGGAATAGCTCGTCGTGGTGGAGGCGTCACAGACGAGGTGATCGTCGTCGTCGTTTCGTTTCAATATGACTTGGCGTTCGTCGGCTGCTGTTGCCGAAACAAGCGGGTCATCCGATTCCTTCCGATGCTTGTGGGTGTTTCAACGACAAGCCGGGCACGTGTGCAAATACCGAAGCGCGCAGGAAACCCAACGTATCGAGGTCCCTTGGAAAAGGGCACAACAGAGTTGGGAGAAACAAAGTAGATGAAGGAAGGGCGGGGTATTTCAAGTCAAGAAGGAATGGAAAAATAAAAATGCCCGTTTACTTCATGACGAGGTGTGCACTCTCCCGGGCTCGGATGCGCAGAGAGCCGCCCTGCCAATGCGCGCTAGGGACTCCCCGCCGATTCCAAATCACAGGGTGCACACTGCCTGCCCGAACGTGGGGACTTGGCTGTGAGCTACCATCAACGAGTGACTTCTAGGCCCGAAAGCCTCTGTCCAATCTGTTTGGGCCTGCGAGTCAAGGCGCATCAAATTAAAACACTGCTGACAACTCACCACCCAATTCTCTTTTGTGGATTTCAGCTACCCAGTATCAACGCGGCCCTTGCGAAAAGTCTCCAGGGTAGGCCGTACTCGGGTGGTGCTCGACGCTACCGCCACTCTCACCGTCATCCCGTCATGACTAGACGGCTGTCCAGTCTCCCGTCTGCAGCTTCTTCCCTTTTCGTCGTCCATATAAAAAAAAGACCCCACACGTCAACGCAACCGCGATTTCACAGCCACTTATCGTCCATTTGCCTGGACAACCTGGACGACGCGGAGCTGGTGGGACGGGTGCCACGTCGACTCTTGACAAGTGCCGGCCATTCTTGAGCTTCGATTGTGCGTCGTCTTCGGTCTCCGGGCCGTCGGCTCGTTCGTTTGTTTTTACAAGGTCCGGGCGGTGGGTTGTGCGAAATGCTCCCTGGTCGCAGGTTGTCGATTTCATATCTATTACCTCACAAACCACATCCCCGATAACCATACTCTATCCCCCAAAGCCACTGTTGAACGACTTTTGCTTCGTTCCTTCATCAGTCTATGTCCAATTCTGTCATCAACTCGACCTCATTCATCACAGTCATGACACGCACAATACACGCATGCACTTGGTCACGTCAGTTGATAACGACACACCAAAGTTCACCAAAAAAAACACAATGCAGCATCCTGCGCCCCCAAATCCCCCACTGTATGTATCTTGTCGCCACAAACAAAAACCCCCACGGTCTTCTAGTTGCTCTTCTTGCCCGCCTTGGCCGCCGCGCGCTCCCGGTCGCGCTTGGCATAAATGCCCGCCGTAAAGGGGTCCTCGAAGCGCAGCGCCACGACGTACACGACATAGACGAGCGCCGTGAGCAGCAAACCCGCCGGCTTGCCAAACAGCAGCGCCGTGCCGAGGAAGCTCATGGTGGAGCCCCAGTACATGGGCGCGCCCGTCACGTTGAACGGGAAGCCCGTCACCATGTCCTCCTTGAGGAAGCCAAAGTAGTCGCCCAGAAAGGTGCCCTGGATGCCGAGCCGCCACGTCGACGACACCACCAGCACGTTGCCGGCGGCGAGCAGCGTGTAGGCGGCGGCGAGCGCGTACGGCGTCTGCAGCAGCGCGTGCGACGGCTGCTCCGACAGCGCCGTCTTGTACAGCCAGTCGCGCAGCAGGCCGATGGAGAAGATGGTGACGGCGAGTGCGTAGTTGGCCACGGTGCGGTTGCCGCCGAACAGCTTGGTGAGGACCTTGTTGCGGTATTCTGCCATGTAGAAAGTACGATTAGCCACGGTTCCACCTCTTTTGACTGCCATCTCAGTCGCGGGGGAGTATCGGGGGGGACGCGTTTCGAACCTTGACGAGCGACGATGCTGTTTCGGCACCTGGTTAGCATGCGAGCTTTCGCGACGCTGCGAGGCGCGGGATTTCAATCAACTTACTTCCAGAACAAAGGGTTAAAGATGATGGATGCCGCCGAGACTGCCACATCCAACCAATTAGTTGCCGTTTCTAAACAATGCGTCGGTCATGGTCGCTGGCACTCACCTCGCAGGCTCTGCTTGTCCAAATCGACATAGCTGGCCAGTTGCCCGACAAGTGACGCCATTGCGAGCTGTAGAGATGGTAAGACGTCAAGAAGCAAGGCTCTCCGGCGCTAAGTTACTGGCGACAGAATAAAAAAGGGGAAGGAATGGACAAGAGACGGGGAAAAAGAAAACTCGCTACAGAGATGAAAGGGAGAAGAAGCTCGTCATGAACGCCCTCTCCTCTTCCCTTTAAAGATTCCCCACGCGTCAACCGTCTCGCTGGGCTGGGCGGGGAACGGGCGGAGCCCACACAAGCTCCCAGCTCCAACTACAGAGCTGGCTTTTTTACCCTCGCTTGGGGTCGGCACTAAATAACACCTCGACTATGCAGTTTCTCCTGACTACTCTGTATCATTGGACGAAATCGGGGACTTCCTTGCGGTCTCTCACTTTTTTTCTTCTTGTTCCGTTGACTTGTTGGGGCAGCGGCCTTTTTTTCCCTCGTTGCTCTGAAATGAACATTTCACATGTCAATTACCGTACGGTCACATCATTGGTCGGTAACCATTCCACGCATGTCTTTCCATTGCTTTCTTTTCTCATTAGTTACTGTCGCGTGTCAGTTTGCACCACGCTAACTTTGGCCCAAAGCCTGCCATCTGACCAAAGCCATCCCTACTAACCCTCGATAACAAAAACTCCCATGCCATTGATACGTAAAATGGAGACATGAATATATATATCTGTTCCCTGCATGCCTTGCTCCCCCCTGAAAAAAAAAAGAACCTCGCTAGACCAAAAAATCAGCCACCTCTTCTGCTTCGCCTACGTTTCTATCTCCGGGCTCGCGTCTTCTTGGCCTGCGTCGTGGTATCTTCCTCCTCCTCGTCGTGTCCCTTTTTCAGATCTTCGTCTAGGCCCCATGCCGCCATGTCGTACCAGTCCTCGCCGTCCGACATGTCGCGGTTTACGCCGCAGTGCGCCTCCGCCTTGGACCAGTGCAGCACATCCCCGCGCAGTCGCTGCGCGTGCAGCAAGCCCCGGTGCAGCTTATACGTGCCCCGGCACACCTCCTCCTGTTTCTGCACGTACAGCGCCAGCAGCCGCCGAATATCGTCTGCCTCGCTCGCCGGCAGCCCTAGGTTGCGATCTGGCCGTGCTGAGGCGGGCGGTATGAATATGGGATGTATCACAGATTCTCCGTCCCCCCCCCTTGACTTGATTCGCCATCGGCCTTTCCTGGGTACGCCTCAGCATCTGTCAGCCTTTCCGTGCCGTCTCGACGGTCATAGGCTGTGGTATTCTCGCCATCTCTTCTAGCCTCTCTCGCTGTGTCTGTGTTCTTGGCGGCGCCGTTGCCGTTGCTCACCCCTGCGTCGGCCATGGACACGTCGCCGTCCTTATTTGAATTGTCGCCATTCGCTTTCGCCGAGCCGTTTGGCCTCTGCTGCTCTGTGCTTGCGTCACCGTTGACTGTCGCCGTTCCTGATCTTAACGACAGCGCCTCTAGACGGGGCGACACCTGGTCTTGCGAATATAGCGCCGTATCGTCCTCACCAATCATGAGTTCGCACGGTATCCATGTGTTGTCGCCATACAACGACGTCCACAGCTGCCGCACCTCCCACAATGACTGGTTTTCTTTGCGCAAAAGTTGACAGCTGTGATCGACCAGCTCAGTGAGCGTTTTGGAGAGGAATGGCTTCGAGAGGGTCGGGTGGGATGCGAGGTCGGTCGCCGCGGTCAACGGGGCGAGAGTGTCTGCGGCGGTTAGCAAGCTTACGAGAGGCGACCAGAGTCTGTTTCGAGATGCCACTTACGTTCGAGGTGAATATTGGCGTATGGGTTGAGCTCGGCGGCCGCCCGCGCGGCATTGTGCACGCGGTCGTGTTCTTCTTCGCTGAAGACTTCGTAGCCATCGTCGTCGACCAGCGGCGGATTGCGATAAATAATGGATCGGCGAACGCCCGCGTAATCGAGTTCCTGTTTCCAGCAAAGAGCCGACTCATTAGCACCCGCATCATGCGTTGGTCGGCTGGCGGCTGCTCGTTCCGACTTACCTCTTTGTAGGCGCTGGGCCCAGAAGGCGGAACCAGCTGGCCCTTGTGCGCAAAGCGGCCCTTTTTCTTGAGCTTTTGCCCGCGGTTGCTATAATGTTCTATTTCGGAGTCGGAATCGGAATCTGCAGAGTTCGACCGGGAGAAAAATGCCCCCCCTCGTGGTTAGCGACTGTGTTTTTTTTCTTGGGCGTGGGAGTTGGTGCGAGCGACCGGGCACCACCGCAAAGGTCCTTACCGTATGCTCTCCGTTTAAATGCCTTTTTCATGCCCGCTATCGTCTCGGCAAACAGAATGTGCTGTGTCGCCATCGTGGGCAAGGAGAACGTTGGGAGGTGGCGGCCAAGGCCGAAGAGGAATTGGCAGCAACAGGCGCTCGTCAAAGCCGGGCGACTGTGGGATTTTTCGTCGCGGTCGGAGGGGCCGCCGAGACTCGAGAGAGTGGCGGGTCAACGCAGAAATAAGCAAGCCAATGCTTCTTCTTGTCTGTCCAGTCGGTGATTTCGCTAATCGGTAGTCGGTTCGGTGTCGTGGAGGGTGGTGCTGTAGCTTGGGAGAGAGAGAGGGAGAGAGGGAGCAGAAGTGGTGGTGGTAACGCTTGCGAGGAGCAATGCAACCACGCCGCCCAGAATTTGGCCCGCCTGCGGAGAGGAGAGCCCACAGCCCGCGCAGCCCGAGGCGACCCCAGTCAGCGCCAGCCAGCGCCAGTGCCAGTACCATTTGGAGACCAATCACGCGCCCACAACGCGGTCCTTTCTTTCGCCGACGCTGCTACAAGGAAGCTGCCGAAGTTTACCCACCTCTTACATCATAGGTAACTACCTTGCAGCTCCAAGCTCCAAGTTCAAGTCGATATAATAATTGCCATGTTCCTGTTCATTTCCTTTAAAGTACATTGTCGGCATCACAGTCGAATATAAATCAATGCGAAAAAGAATTGGTATACATCATAAAATCCTATTCAACACGTATGAAAATCGCACCCCATCAACACCCGACCAGCCCTAGTTTTGGAAGCTGTGACATGTTAGACTTGCGAATATATTCATCAGGATTATTTCCACTCACATATCTGGAGAGTTGGTAATCTCCTCAAAGCTTTGCAGAGTATCAAAGCCCATGGCAATCAGTGGCTCAGACGTATCATCAATGACCTGCAAAAGTATTAGTACTAAACAAGTAATAGGAACTTTTTTTAAAAAAAAAGAAGAAAACAACTCACCCAGCTAAGCACCGCCTTGCTTGCCTTGTGGCTTTTGCATTGGCGCACGCCCATTAATGCAAGTCCCTGCAGCACCAGCGTCGACAGCGGCCCAGGCGGCACGGTCGGCGCGACGATGCCCGCAATATTCTCCGATCTCGACCGCAGGGCCGGGATGTACGTGGCCAGCGGGCTGCCCTGCCTGCAGATGATGATGGTGCCCATGATGGCGCCGGCCGGGTCCTTGGCGCGGACGATACCGCACGTCTTGGTCTCGGCCAGCGCGTACCGGTACAGCTCCACCACCTCGGGGCCGCTCTCGGTGCGAACGTGGTGCAGCACCGTTTCGGCATTGTCCAGCCCGTGGATCAGGTCGAAGCTAATGTTGGCCCGCTGAATCGTCGGCAGCAGGCCCTCGGGCGCCGTCCAGCCGCCCAGGTCCGCAATGACCATGTTGGTCAGCCGCCGTGGGAACTGCGTGTCCCAGCCGCTGTTGCTGAACCACGTTTTGACCGTGGCCGCCTCAGCGCCAAGGGCGAGACCGGGAAAGACGCCTGGAAAGCAGGCGCCGAGCTGCACCCGTTTGAGACTGCGCTGCTGCGACAGATTTTTGAGCGCCCGCTTGTGCAGTGAGCGGCCGATGGACACGTTTCGCTTCGTCGGGTCGACAATGAGCGCGCCGAGGATGCCCACGGCCCCTGTCACATATGTTGCCACGAAGCCGTACAGTGCTTGCGTACTGCTGTTTCGCACCACGAAATGTGCTTCTTTAATATTGTTGTTGAAAAGCTCAAACGCCGATGCGCTCGTGTTGGACAAAAAGTCCAGGTCCGAGCCTCCAGCGCGGTGAATGGCCTTGAGGAGATCATCTAGACCGGTGGCATCACGCTCGCGGTCATATTCCTCTACCAGCCAGAGCTGTCTTGACTTGAGAACCTTTTTGCTCTTGCGAAGAGTGCCTGGTAGACTGCCAACGGGCTTGACTTCACCAATAAGGACGCGTACCAGGGACGCCATCGCATTCTCGGTAAAGTCGAACGTGCAAATATAGGTACCAATAGATTTGTCCATGGCAAAATCGTAAGGCGAGCTGACAGCAACGACGATGAGATGCTTCTTTTGCCCTCGACTTCGAAGCATTGAGCACATCATGTCAACGTGCTTGGTGAAACCTGCCTGGTAAAGGTTCCGATTCGCATCGGCAGTAAATATGATGATGCACGATGCGCGATTAATGAGATTTTCATGCACTGGTCTGACGCCATTCGCAGTGTAGCTGGTATGTAGCAGCTTCTCGTTCCGGTGGCGAGCCAGAGTCTTTCCAAACTCGCGAAATACGCCCTCACCGCTCATGTGCGCAGTCCTATCCTGGCGACGATGCACCCACCGGTCGTGATTACCCATGGCAAGTGATTGGTCCTGCTTTGAATCTAGGAAGCTCTTGGTCAATGAAGACGCCGGCAGTGGCTTGACTAGGGGCGTCAAGAGTAAAAGTTCTTCGCCGGGGTGCACGGATTGTGAAAGGGGTAGCAGTTGCTCCTTGTCTCGGATGACTGTGATAGATTCGTCAAATGCCCGGCGAGATAGAGCAAGATGAGACGGATGAAGCTGGGAGAGCAAGGATATCCCAGGAGGGTTAAGAGCCTTGGACCAAGAGGTGCAGTTTGACTTGAGGTGGAGAACACGTCGTACGGAGGTGAATAGTCTCTCTTTGGTGATGATGCCGTTCTCCAGACCTAGTTTCAGACCTCTGATGGCCTCTAGCTGAATGTCGTAAGCTCGGCAGAGAAGTACCAGATCGCAACCGGCTTCGACGGCCATGACGACGCCGTTCTGCACACCCAAGTCGTGGCTCAGGGCCTCCATCTCGAGACACTCGGAGATGGCAACACCCCTGAAACCCATTTCATTGCGAAGCATGTCATCAACAACCTGGTCCGACAGACATGCATGGCTCACATTCATGGAAGGGTTTGATAGACCACAGCCACCGACAAACATGGCGTCCAGTTTACCCGAGGCGACTGCATTGCGAAAGGGAACGAGGGCACTTAAGCTGAGCTCCTCGAGGGTCTGGGTAATGATGGGCACATCCAAGCTTGATCCGAGGAAGTCGAGGTTGCCGTAGGAGGGGAAATGCTTGCCGCAAGTGGCAATACCGGCGTCGCGAATGCCAGCCATGGCAGCCAGACCGTACTGTGATACTTCCTGGGGATCGTCGCTGGTGGCGCGCACACCGAGAGGCTGGTAGCGGGCATTGTTCAAGACGTCAAGGACGGGTCCGAGCATGAGATTTACGCCGCAGGCCGAGATTTCCGTGGCTGTGGCCTTGGTGACTTCGTATGCCAGTTCCGGACTGCCAGCAGCCGCGATGCCCATGGCACTAGGAAACTGACATACAAAGTCTTCGTCAAACAGGCTGTTGACGCCACCATTCTCCTGGTCCACGGCGATGAGCAGCGGCTGCGGGTGGCCGGCGTTTTGCGCAATGGTTTGGAGCTCTTGCACAAGCCTGGCGGTTTGCTGGGCAGCTGGACGCGGTCAGCATGATACTACGAGGTGGAGGACGAGTACAGAACGGACATTTGAGGTTCTTGGCCGTGAGGATGATAGAGCCTAGATGGTGATCCTCGATGAGCGTTCTGATCTGGGGTGTGACTTCTATCCCATCCCAGCCCATAAGCAGCACCTGGCCAATGGCCCTACGAGGGTGGCGTCAGTATTGTTGGTCTATACGTGAGATGAAATGCCATGGCCCGGGATAGAAGCGCAGCACGTTTGGTTGTTGGCTGGACATGACAGGGCGGTTGAGCTCGGATGGGGGAGACGTACCAGTCAATGTTCTGATATATCGGGTCAATATCGGCGCTGTCGGCGCCATTGTTGGCGGTGTTGGACGTCATTGTGCAAAAACGACTGATCGGGCAGCTCTGCGCATGCCTCTGACGGCGTGCGCAACGGTTGAGGGTTGGTGGGCGGACACGGTCTGTAGGTCTGCCAGGTGAGGATGGAACTTGGGCCGATTGAGTTCAAGCGCCAGCTGGTGGTGGGTTGAGCACTGGGAGCCGGAGGTGCGGGATGGGGCTCCGCCTCGAGGCCACAAGTGGCTGCGCAGCAGGCGAGTAGAACGGCACTTGTAGTGTGTTACGGTATTGTGATATGTGATGGATGACTAGGTATGGCCAAAGTTTAATTTGTGCGTAGAAGCCTTGCAGTCGAGGAGCACCGTCAATTTCTTCGGCCGTCTGGTTGACTTTGGACTCTTTTGCGGGGGAATGCCTACAGGCACTGGCGCAGCAGGACAACGAGGGCGACAGGCATGCATGCTGACGGTTCTGAGGTACTGCAGGCTGAACTTCGGGTAGATGGGGCCGAATTCTGCCGGCTGGGGGAGTCTTGAAGCAGCATAGGCGGTGAGAGCATGCTGATATTTCGCAGTTCTCTGCCAAGCAATCATGATGAACCGAACAAACGACAAGAAGCGGTTTGCCCAGTCTGGCAGCGCCGCACAGAACTCACTCACTTACTCACTTCTGGGGCGACCTGGAGGGGTGGCGTGTTTGGGGAGATAAGGCTTGCTCCAGTGGCTTTCTGGGGGGTGCTTCCGGGGGGCTCCGGGAGACCTACTGGGGTGTGTGCGCTAACAAGTTGGCCGCTGGGCAATTCAACGTTACATGGGCTGGCTGGGCAAGCTTCCAGCAGCACACCAGCGGAGAAGCCCATGATCGCGATGGCCAGGCCTTGAAAAAATTCGGCGTGTTCGTGCCTCACTACCTAGGTACCTAGTTACTAAAACGCTTTTGAAAGGAAATGAAATTTGTCAGGGAATTTTATGAAATCGCTTTAGTCGATCGGAGGCGCTCATCTTTGCGCCTCTCTCCAGACAGGCAGGTGCAGGACAAGTTGCTGCCAGCCTGACACAACAGCGATCTGAAACGCGCCGTCGCAGCTCATGAATAATGCATGCTCACAACAGCCCAAACCAAACGAACCACTCATTCCGTAATTACCTGTACTATCATGTCATGTCGGTCCGGATTGCACGTTGACCTTCGGGCGTCTCCAATGCGCCAGTCCCTGCTCCGCTCAACAGTAACCACCGCTTTGCTCGGAGTCCCCACCCAGCCCGTCCGTGATGGATGGTGACAGTCACCAGTAACTACCTATCCATGGCAGCATGTATTTTTTTGCTCCCAAATCGTGTATGTTTCCGAGGAAGCTGCGCTGCTGCTTCTGCCATGTCCGCTTGCTACAATCCGATCTGGCAGGCCTCCACCAGGCCAGCAAGCTCCACGGGAGCAGCGGCTGCGGTAATGCAGTTTTGAGCAGACCGCGGAAACTCATACTAGTACTTGCCTTGCCCTCACCCATCGTCATCCGCCATGCTTGGAATTTTTTTTTGTAGTGTAGACCACCCTACCGACTTTGAATCTTCATCTGAAAAAACATCATCTGCACCGTTTTTCCCTACAATCTCTCGCCTCTTATTATTGGGCGCGGACCGGACCAACTGCCGACCACCTGAGCGCACCCGCCGCCCATTCCCGCCGCCAACCCCCCGAGACGATGCCGGCCGTCATCACCAATGGCGCCCAGCCGCCGAACCATGGACTGACAAAATTTACCAACTGCCGCTTGTTGCGCGGCGACCGCCTGGTCCAGGCCGATCTCTGGGTTAGCTCCGAGACGGGAAAAATTGTCGAGAGCCAGACCGTCTTCTTTGACGACCTGGTGCTGCCCGCCGAGACGGTCGACCTGGGCGGCCGTATCGTGTCCCCCGGCATGATTGAGTGCCAGCTCAACGGCGCGTTCGGCTTCAACTTTTCCACCCTGCTCGACGACATGTCACAATACGGCAAAAAGGTCAAGGAGTGCCAGAAGCTCCTGGTCCAGACGGGCGTCACATCCTACATCCCCACCATTACCAGCCAACGACCGGAGCTCTACCAAAAGGTACGGCGGCGGCCATGTCAGAACCCCGGCAGCGCATAGACTACTCACCCTTTGTTTGAGTGTCTGATTCGCCTGCCTTTTCGTCCTGCCTGTGAATTTTTTTTTTGCCTGCTAACTTGGCTTCGTTTCATCATCAGGCGCTTCCCTTTCTGGGTCCATCAGGGCGCTCGCACGCGGCCGAAGACGGTGCCGAGTCGCTTGGCGCCCACTGCGAGGGGCCCTTTCTTAACCCGACCAAGAATGGCGTGCACAATGTCGACGTGCTGATCGAGGCTCAGACCTTTGCTGATCTCGAGGCCTGCTACGGCGCGGAGAACCTGTCCCCCGCCACGCCGGGTGGCGTTATCCCCGTCAAGATGATCACGGCGGCGCCCGAGCGCGGCAACATGATGAGCCTCATCCCCGACATCACGGCGCGCGGCATCCGCTACTCGGTTGGGCACTCAGAGGCCACCTACGAAGAGGCGTCGCAAGCCGTCGGGCAGGGCGCCACCATGATCACGCACCTGTTCAACGCCATGCGCCCGCTGCACCACCGCAACCCGGGTATCTTCGGCGTGCTGGGCGAGGCCGAGAGCCTCCCCCGCCCGTACTTTGGCGTCATTGCCGACGGCATCCACTTGCACCCCACGACCATCAAGATTGCCTTTAATGCCCACCCGGAGGGCTTCATCCTTGTCACCGACGCCATGCACCTGGTCGGCCTGCCGGACGGCGCGTACCCGTGGACCAACGGCGAGACGACGGCCAATATTATCAAAAAAGGCTCCAAGCTGCTGCTGGAGAACTCTGACACCATTGCTGGAAGGTAAGAACGCTTGGCGTTGCATAATACTTTTATGCCTGTGGAGGAGCGGGCCGGGTCCCGCCGCTCCATGTCGAATCAATCGCTAACGTGCTGTCGGCAGCTCCATCACTCTGCTAGAGTGCGTCAACAACTTCCTTGAGTGGTCGGGCGAGGGCATCCCGCAGGCGCTCAAGGCTGTCACAGCCTCGCCGGCCGCCATGATGGGTCTGCAGGGCGTCAAGGGCTCGCTGGAAGCCGGCGCGGATGCGGATTTGCTCATCTTTTCCGAGGAGACGACGACCAACGGGCACCACAAGCTGATCCTGGACGAGGTGTGGAAGTTTGGCACGCGCCTGCCCAAGGTTCATGCATAGAGGACACGTCTTCTTTTTCTGCTTGACGACTACTGGTGTTGGATGTATTTGGAAAGGACGACAAGACTAAGATGCGGCAGAATAACTGCAATCGATAGACTGTACATAAAGGGACCAGACAACGGCGTTGTTAGCATTTTTGAGCGGCTCAGAGGAAAATACAAAAACAGGAAAAATAAAGAGGTATACATACAAGCAAGTATAAACAAATAAAAATATCTAGTTATCATAAATCGAAGTGCAGATGGACTGTTGAGACTTGGGTGATTTTGGTACTTCTCATCCCGCGTTGACCATTAGCACATGCAAGCTATAGCATCAATGGATCATGGTTAATGTACCCCGACGCACGGATGTACGACGTGCAGCGGGATGAGGAAAGAGGTGGTTACAGCTGTCTAGCCCTACGCTTCCGGGGCGAGTATAAGAGCAAGCAAGATGCTACGATTGTACGGGTAACAACACTAGCTATGACAGGGTCACTTCCGCTGGTGCGAAAGGAACAATGGCTTCCGCCTTTCGGGGTAAACACATGGGCTGTGACCCGGCCGGTAGTATTGCGACGTTCTCGTCTGACGGGAGAGGAACAAGAATATGAGAGGGGGAGGAGGGGTGGTGAGGAGTTCTCGGCGTCGACGCCGCGTTTTCCGTCCAAAGCTAGCCCAGCGGCCTGCCTAGCTTGGTAGGATAATAATTGTCCGGACCGTTTTTGGTGACACTGCGTGCTAGTGGCGCAAACCTGCATGCACTCTATATTAACTGGGCAATAGAAAAAAGAAGGCTTGTGGAAATTGGAGGAGTTGGAGTTGGGGGTTTTGCTTTTCTTTTTTCGCCACTGATGAAGGGAAAAAAAAAGTCTGGGGTAAGAACTGGGATTTTCCCCCGCCACGGCCCGTCGCACACCACCTTTGGGGAAGATATATGGACAGGAGGCATCACGAGGCCGGGGGAAGAGGCAGCCACAGACGCGGTGCAGAGGTGCAGAGTGGTATGTGGACAGCACGTGAGACTATCGAGTTCATTATTCTTTTTTTTTCTTTTCTTGGTTTTGTTTTTATTGTCTAGTTTTTCCAGTGCCACCCTTGATGGGATGGTTAGGTGTCCGTGATAACTCGGCTACTTGCTCCTCCCCGTGCCAGCCTCAATATGGGACCACAGGGGGTTGATGCCTAGGACGGTCAGCTCCAGCGGCTATCGCACACTAAAATAAACGACTTCCACGGGGGGTAGTGGAAAGTGCCCCCCCCTGGACCCCGTCCGTTCGGCCAACACTGCCCCGACAGGCGCAGGTCCCGGGGGAGCGGATGGCCCAAACAGATTCAGACGAAAGGGACATTCAGTCATGGCATTGGAAAGGGATTCCAATGTAAGACGGTAAATGACGTGCAAAAGGCCCCCTTTTCGCTCTCTTTTCCCCTTTTTGGGTGGACTTTGTTGACATATCTCGAGTCGTGTTGATGCCTGGACCTAGACGATTTCGCATTATGGGGCGGCGGGGGAGCCGGTTCGCAGCTGTTTTCCAGGTACCTACTAGTAGGAGGTACCTACAAGTTGTTGCTCTTTGCCTGCAGTGGCCATCGTTTACCGGGAGCTAAGGTTGGTACCTGCGTTCCTTGAGCGAGAAGGGATCTCTGAATAAGGTTTCTGACAGATGCTTTTCCTTTCTTTTTTTTTTCGCTAGTACTTGTTCCAGAATCCTCCTCTTTTTGACATGGGTATAGCTAGACGCGATAGCCATGGCATGCAAGAGCACTGGAAATAAAATTTCTGTCAGAAAATCATCATCACAGTGCATCCCAGACCCGCAAGGTACATGGATGGGGCACTCAGGCGGCTGGAGACGGACTCCCAGGCGGCCAGATTGCCAAGTGGAGGGAGACAACACTGGGAGACAACACTTGCTTATCTACAAATTAGTCGCTGAATGATTGCATGTTCTTGGGACAGCAGCTCGGTAGGAACAAAGGCTTTCTTTGTTCTATTTTCCTGCTTTTTTCTTGTTCACTTTCTCTTTCGTCACGTTTTTATCGCGATTCTTCCATCTGCGCCACGGCCTGCGCGGAAAATATCACAATTGTCATCCTGTATTTTTACAGCGAGGGTTAGTGGACAGAGGCCTTTTTTTTGGCGGTGCGAGTGGGGCGTTCCCTGACTTCTACGGGGCTTTCTGGACTTCATTGACCCCACAAACTGGTCGACGGTTGGCTGGCCTGGCCGGAGTGGTTTGCCAGGGCGCGCAGCAGGCGGCGCTGCTAACTAAAGCCTGCAACAACCTTGCCGAAACCTCGTGGTCTGCTGCTTTGCTGTTTTTTTTTCTTTCACCCTTGACCTCTTTGCCTTTTGTCCCCTCTTCTCTCCTCGTGCTAACTAACTCAACTCAGCTACCCATCGCCAGGTCGTCCGCCTTGCAGCATCTCCTCCACACTCTAGCCTGTCTCGCAACACTGGCGGCATCGCACCACCACCGAGCCGATCCTTGGTACCTTGTCACCTACGGAGCACCAGGTATCGACTAACTAACCTCGCTCGACCATTCCCACTACTGGCCGAGACATCCATCTTCAACAACCCATCATCACCTAACGCGCCGGCCTCAAAGTCGCAGAAGCTGTCGTCTGCCGCCCTTCCCTTCCCCGCCCGATCCTGTCCTCGACCTCACTCCCACGCGCCTCAATTACCAGCACGCGTAATACCCTCAGTGCCACCAATCGGCCCGACTAGGCTGTTGCCTCTCGTCGCCGCGACCACTAGACATCGCCTCACATCTGCGCTAGACGGACAGTCAGACTGTCCGATGTGCTGCTGACCGTGGCGACCTTCGACGATGCCATGGCTGCCTTCAACTCGATGCCGGTAATGAATGCCACCCCGGCACAAAACGACACAATCGCCATGAACCACGCCCGCCAGTCCATGACCATGGACGCTTTTGACCAGGACCTCAGCGGCTTCGACGAAGCCCTCATGTACGTTCACCTGCCTCTGCCTCGTCCCGTCCCTTGCCGCCAGCCTGGCCCTGCAACCACGCTGTGCCCGCCAGCAGTCGGCACCATCCCGTGACCAATGACTACCTCAGTGCTCACCTCTCAAACAGTGATACCGGCCCCCTTCCCACGCTGCCCTTCACACCTTCTTATGACTTTGACAACTTTGCGACGACGTTCGAGGATCCCTTTTCTTACTCAACCCGCCAGTATGAGCCCACCCCCCATCAGGATATCCTCAACGAGGACGCTTCCCCGCAGGACCTTGACAATAAACTCCTCGGCTTCTCCGACCCTGTCATGAGCACCACAATTGTCGACGACTCTGGACAATTCGCCGACACGACCATGGCCGCCGAGCTCTACGGCATGTTCTTCGTAGCTGAGGATGTCTTTGGCGGTGAAACCACTGGCCGCCCGCTCGAGTTGACCTGCTACCGCCGCAACCTCTGGCAATGCGCCGGCCAGATTACCCTATCCCGCGCCATTTCTCACATCATCGATGAGCAAGGCCGTCAAGTCCCTCTAGTCGAGCTCTTCGCCTCCATCAATGCCATTGAATCGATCGAAGGCAAAGGCACGGAAATTATATCCATTCCATGGAAGAGCTCTAATCCGCAGGCTGGCGAGGACAGCAAAATCGCCACTGCCCCACCCAACGTCAACATAGACTTGTCCGCCGGCCAAGAGTTGGATGCCAACCGTGTGTCCATTCCTGTCTCGTGGAAGAGACTCCAGTTCAAACATGCAACCGCCAACAACGGGCGCAGAAAGGGCTTGCAGCAACATTATGTCGTCCAGATCAGTCTCCTCGGCAAGACTAAGAATGGAGAAACCATCAAGATTGCCGAAATCCAGTCTGGACCCGTCATCGTCCGCGGCCGTAGTCCTAGAAATTTTGACAGTAGAAAAGACGTGCCTCTGTCCGGAGACAAGAGACTGGAAAGGAAGAACACATCCAGCTCCGATGGAAACGCACTGAAAGTCGAAAGGGAGCACCTCCAGGCCGCCATGCAGAGATACCAGTCCATGCCCGGACCTGTAATAGCAGTAAGGCCCACCACATGAAGCTGCTCATCTTTGCACAGTTGCTAACCTGAGATAGAACCCCAACGATTGGGCAACTTCCCAGCCCGTGGCCCAGCCAAGGGAAAGTCCTCACCCGGCGAAACGAATGGCTCTGTCGCCAACCGTAAGCAAGCCACCAGTACCACCATGGAACCCTGATGCGCCACGAACAGCGTCCGGCCACCGCGGCTCCATGTCGCGGCCGCGCGAGGCCGGCGCGCCCATCAACCTGTCCCTCTCCGAGGACGAAAGAAGTCCCAACCGGTCAAGCGCCGAGCTGCAGAGCCCGAAGCTCGGTAAATCGCACCCAGCGGTCGGACAACACGCCGCCAGCAGCCCAACAGAGGAGGCGGACCCGTTATACGAGTACTTTCCGCTCAGTGTAGACGATTGGTGCGTTTTGTCCTGCATTTCATTGTCCGTTCGCGCTTGCTGACCAGATGATAGGATGCCGCCAGTAGACGCCGTGTACAGACCCCACGTAGTGCACCACACATATGAGCCCATCGAAATTTTCGAGGCCAAGCGCGGTAAAGCGAAGCGATACTTTTTGGCAGATTGAGATGAACGCGCACTCTGCCAACAAAACGAGATGATTATGCATCGATGACGACCCCTGTATCAATACCACATCGCAGCCGAGGAGGCAGTATTTGGCCGCAATACGCAGTGACATCACTCCCAACGCGTGGTGGGTCTGCGGCTGCTGCAATGTCCTCGTTCTCGAATGAGCATGCCAACCATTGTTGGATGATGAGTTGCTGCTTACTTCTTTTCCCGCTTTTATACCCAAGGGCCATCTGTTGTTGTTGATTTCCCTTCTTTCTCTTTCTCAGCAGCGTCATGTCTTATCGCCAAATTCGGTCAAGTGTTTGGGGGCGGCGGGCCCAATATATCAGCAGAATTGTACATACAACACCATATTTTTCTTCTTTGGTTGGGCTTTGGTATAGCGGGAGTGGTCGGCCACTGGTCATATATTGACGGCCTTGTTTGCGTATCAGGAAAGGAATATATACATTATTTCACCGCAATCAAGCAGGTCTGTCGATGGAGATGCATGTCAGCGAGACTGTCATAGTGGAGTTGCAATGTCCAAGTTGGAACTGAGAGTAACAAGGAGCCCGTGCTTGGTATATACACGACTCGTGTCTCCGATATAGGTATGTACGATTCCAAAGTCGGTTCATCCCTGGGCGGCCTTCCGCGGCCCTCCGTCGTACGGTCATCCAGAGAGCCAAGGCATACGTCTTTCCCCGCGGTGTCAGCTGTGCCAACCGTGCCAACCGTGCTACTCGTTTTATGTAAGGCAGACCCCTTTGGGAGGGGGTAGGGCCCTCGGGGACCAAAAGTTGATAAAAAAAACACACATCAAAGTCAAATTTCCCCCGTGGCCCCATGGGTAATGATGGATCACGCCTCTCCAGTCTTGCGGAGAAGAAAAGAGACAGAAAAAAGCAAAGCATTCCTTTTGCATGACGGTGACTCGCGGTGAGACAGAGGGAAACTTTGATAAGAGCATGAAATTGTTTTTTTTTTTCCCCGGGAACATTTTCTACGGCCACGGACCGCCCCCCTCCCCGCCGCCCGCCGCCCCTGGTTCCGCGTCGCACGTAACGTAGCCTCTCTCTCTCTCTCTCTCAGCCGCCCAATCATGCAATATCGCATGGCCTTGCATTGCAGCGGAAAAGAAGGACGACGACAACGGCAACGAAAATGATGGAATAAAAGTCGGGCTATGGAAAAGAGATGGAGAGGACAAGCGACACGATCTGTGCATAAGGAATTAAAGTTGTGCTGAACAGGTATGCATTTCAAAGGCGTTTTCTGGATGGTAGCATCGGGATGCAAGGGACGTGCTGGTAGACAAGTAAGTCAACCCGGCATCGTCCGGCACCTTGGCATCAGGAGTGAGTACATGTGAGGTGAGACAATTTAAAACGTGGTAAACGTGGTATCATAAGTATATTTTTGTAATACTATCAAGGCATTTCAAAACGTTCTAGACTCGGAAGGCGCAAAAGTAACCCAAGAAGAAATTTACACCATCAAGGACGGTAACCTATTTTTTTGGTTTAGTCTACAGGCAAGAACAAAATCCATAATCAAATCTTTCTCATCATGTCGTGAGAACTGATCCACGACCGCCTGTCAGCGCGAGTTCAGGCGGAGACTGCGTTGGCCTGCTTGGCGGCCTGCTGGTCGGGGTTGGGGGTCAGTCTTTGGTTGAGGGCCGGCTCCGGAATGCGGGAGGCCATGCGGTCCGGGATTAGCTCCGGGGACACGGAGCGGACGGGGTACTCGGTAGCCGGGGTAGCGCGGAGCAACTGCGAGGTGGTGGGCTGGGGCGCAAGAATAGTCGGGGAGGAGACGGTGTCGATGCGCGTCTCGGGGATCGGGCCGTTGCCGGTGCGGACCTTGGAGGGGAGGATCTGCTGGAAACCGGCCTCCTTGGCAACCTTTTCGATGCTCTTGAAGTACTGTTGTGGCATGTTAGCAGCAGGTTCGGACAAGTGTAAGCGAGTTGGCAAGGAGTTGGGTCTACCTTGACAGTCTTGACCTGGAGCTCGAGGGTGGCGTCCTCATCAGCGACAATCATGGGGTGCGGGTGCAGCTGAAGACTGGAGAGCGTCCACATGTGGTTGACGCCCTGCTCGATACATCGCTGAAGCGCGAGGGCCTTGCGCTGGCCGAGGATGATGACGACGACCTCGCGGGCCTCGAGGACAGTCTGGACGCCAACCGTCAAGGCCATTCGGGGCACCTTGTCCACGTCGTTGCCAAAGAAGCGCGAGTTGGCGAGGATGGTGTCGTAGGCGAGCGTCTTGACGCGGGTGCGGCTGGCGAGACTGGAACCGGGCTCGTTGAAGGCAATGTGGCCGTCCTCGCCGATGCCGGCGAGGAAGAGGTCGATGCCGCCGACGCGCTTGATGGCGTCCTCGTAGGCGACGCACTCGGCCTCGAGGCTGGGGGCGTTGCCGTTGAGGATGTGGACGTTGCTGGGGTGAACGTTGACGTGGGAGAAGAAGTTGTTCCACATGAAGGAGTGGTACGACTCGGGGTGGTCGCGCGGGATGCCGACGTACTCGTCCATGTTGAAGGTGACGACATTGTCAAACGAGATCTGGGGGTAGGAGTATACTTGTTAGAGATTGAAAACTGTGGGTTGAAGGTGTCGCGAAGCCTCGGTGTGTGGAAAGCTTTGCCAGCAAACAACCTACCTCGCCAGCCTTGTACTTTTGGACGAGGACTTTGTAAACGCCCAGAGGGCTGGAGCCGGTTGGCAGGCCGAGAACAAAGGGATTCTGGGCCGTGGGCTTGTAGGCGTTGATGCGGTCAATAATGTAGTTGGCCACATAGTTGCTGGTGGCCGCAGCGTCGTCGCGGATGATCAGTCTCATGATGACGTCGCGCTGTGCTGTAGTGGGGTGCAGTGGTGATCTGTGGTGGTTAGGTTGGCTGAAGGTCGAAGGGGCAGAGAACTGCGCAAAAGCACCGAGAAAAGAGCAAAGGAGGAAGAAGTAGTCACAGGACTTGATATGGGTACTGTTTCCAAAAACCGCGGTGCACAGAGGAGGGGGAAAAAAAGAAAAAGGGAAAGGGTTGGAAGTTGGAGAAGGAGCGACTAGTTGGTGTGAGTTGGAGACGGGTTTGCCTGACAGAGTTGCAACTCTGGGCAATGTAGCAGTTGGAGCTCGGTGCGGAGTGTACAAGCTGGGACAACCGCTGGAAAATAGCGTCTGTAGTACTGGAGCTAACTGCAACGGCGGCCGAAAATAACACCTCTAATGAGCTGACAACTTTATTACCTAGTACCTAGGTATGCTTAACAGTAGGCGAGCCACGAGGACGAGCAAAGTGGCGCCGCCGGGGGGTTGCAGTTGGTGGGCTGGCTCGGGGCCTTTGGTCCACGTAAAAAATAAAAAATAAAAATAAAAAAATAAAGCGCATCAGTTGACGGATTTGCTGTAAAACAGCGAGAGGAACCCTCAGATTCCCGGGCGCAGCAACACCACACACTCGGTCTTGCACCCGCCCGGAGTGCGCGGCGGCGGGCAACTCGACTCCACTGACATGCCACCTCCGGCTGGGACCCACTCTTTTTCGCCGGACATGGGAGTGTGGGGGATGGAACGTCACCGTACGGAACTCTTGGAACTCTGGTGCTGGGTGAGAATGAGTTGCTCCGCCCTTTTCCGCCGACCCTGGCTCCCTGGCCGCGCGCTCCCGGATCAGAACGTTGCCCTGGGGGCTTGGGCTGGGGAGGAGAGAGGGTGGGCGGCTTGGCTCGCTTATTGGGCAATTGGGGTTGCCCCGTGGCCAGCAAGCACCCGACGGCATTGTCGCGGTCGAACGACGCGGGCGCAAACTAGGAACGACTAGGAACGAACATGCAGGTGATGGCGGCTCTTTGATGGCGCAAACGGTGCATTGTTTCTGGGGAGCATCCTCGGGCCAGTTGTTTGACAGAACTGTAGCCCAAGTGGACATGAAGAGAATGTCAGCCTTGTCCATATGCCCGATAAGCTTCTAACTTCAAACGAGGGACGGCAGAAGAAATTGAGGGAAACAAAGGCACGTTGAGCTACCCCATGGTTGCAATAGACTGGGGTCGATCCCGATACAACCTCGGCCAGCCTGCAACGAAAACAGCGAGCTTGACCGAGATGCCTCTTCCGCATCGGCACATCCAGATGGAATGGACGAGGTGTTTTTTTTTTCTTCAAAGGCGGGCCGTCGAGGTGAGCATGGTGGCAATCTCGGTGACATGCGACGGGCGTAGATCCTAGTCTAGATGCAGGAGTTGGAGATTGCGCCGAGACGAAAACAAGCCGTTTGGTCATGTCGTGGTAACCATGACTCCTTGAAGCGATTAGGCGAGTAAAAAACTTTGAGACGAAACAGCTCGTGTCGTGGAAGCACATGGTTTATATCGGAAGCAACATGTCAACTCTCGGCGCAGTCATGCATGAAATAAGCGAAGAAATAATTTAGCTGAGCCAGGAGGACATGCAATTAATATACGCTGCAAAAGATCCGACAAATATGCCCAAAATAGAAGCAAAAGCAGCTGAGCCCCATGTCGGTGGTGCAGCTAGACACGTAGTTGCGTCGCTATTATCCGTAGTCAAGTTGTACAGATTAGATTCAGAGCGCAGAGTAGAGTTGCGCCTTGGTATGAATGGAGGACTGCATAGTCAAATACATGATACGTTAAAAATGCGTGATATTTTCTCAGAGCTATTTTCTGTCGAGTTTGATTACTCGTGTCCTGCCAACTCGCGAGAGGACATGTTTGTAATGACAGGACGCAGTCATGACAGGACACAGCCATGACAGGGCCGGTTGCAGGCAGCCTAGTGGCGCCAAGCAAGATGGCAGCCGCCATCTGGTCAAGATGACACGAGATGGAAACGGTGATGGCGCCGCAGGGGGGGGCGATAGCAGCCGTCTACTACATACAGGGGGGGGTTCGTTGAAGAAGTAACACAAGTTTTTCCGTCCAGTCAAGAGACGCGGACCGCCACACTGGTTTGGTGAGTGTTTGTTATAATAATGACACGAAGAAGATGAGGTGAAACCAGCTTGGGGAAAAGCCACGGCGGCCCCCACGTAGTATTCTGGGAGGGGGTTTCTTATTTTTGTGCTTGAATTTTGCGTGCAATATCAGATGATGCGCTAGTCAAGGTAACTAGCCCACGAGGGCATCCCAAACATCAGTTGACAGAAAAAAAAAACAGTTTAGGCCCCAAAATAACACCGAATGGAAGGCTCCCGGCTGGATGCCTACATATGATGCGCGGCTCCCGCTGGAGAGGAACTGGGGCGTGGGGAGATGCTGGGTTGTATCATGGCAAAGTAGCATCGGGATTGGCGTTGACGAATTGTGGAGGGGAGGATGCGGTGGCAGGGCTGCTGGGGCTGCTGGGGCTGCTGTTTTTGGGGGCTGCAGAGATGTGGTGTTGCCTGGTTGGTGGTTGGTTGTTTTTAACAAGACAAGTGTGCAGATTACAGATTACAGATTACAGATTACAGGGTAACCAGGGGATATGTCATCAGGCAACCACGTTGTCTACAGTGGGTTGGACAAACGTTATACCAGCCTCTTTCAGGTGCCCTACTAAACGTGCGACTCCGCCTCGCCTAGCGCCGCATGGCCATTTCCCCCAGGCGCTGAAATCCAAGACTGACAGGCAGAAACAGGTACCCCGGCCGCCTTGTGTAAAACCCCACGTCTTCACCCACCGCAACGTTACTTCCTCCAGCAAACCCCCAGCTTTTGCCTGTCCCTTCTTTCATGTCTCTCTTTTTCCACCATCCACTTACCCGTAAAAGAAAGAAAAAAATCCTTGCAATGCGGAGTCCATCAACACTCGCTCTGGGCGTCTGAAAGACCCGTCCCCCCCCCTCCCTGGTCCACTGGCGAAGCAGTGAGACGCGAGCAGTCGGGAAATTGGTCCTGTGGCTGCTGGTCTGTGGCGGATGTCGCCGCTGCCCACACAACCAAGCCACCAACCAAACCCATCACCACCCTAACTGCACATCACCACCACTACACACTGCACACTACAAGCCAGCTCTTTCATGATCCTACGCAAATACGAGCCTCTTGCCAACCAACCAACTCGCTAGCGCCGCGCCCATATTAACAGTACCAGTACACTGTACGGATACACGCGAGCACAAAATCAAAACAATCCTTCTTGAATTGTTCCTTTTGAGCGTTGCACACCAGCTTCCTCCTCACGCACCCCCGTGCAAACACGCCCCCAGAACAACAAGTCATCGCCGGCATCACGTCTTACTCTCACCAACTCTCTCCGGATACGCCACCACTTCTTCTCTTACCCTTTCCGCCTCGGTCTCTCCCACAGTCTCCAGGAAACTCGTGCCACGCCCGTGGACGCCGCACACCAGGGCCACTCCCCTTCCCCACGACGGACCAGGGATACCGATACGCACACACACAAGGTGCAGCCCTCTCTCCGACCATTGTCCACGCCTGTACGACTCGGGGCTCCGCATTGCAATCGCCTCTGCGACGTTGGTTTGCCGACCCCAACTAGTTCCGCTAAACTGCAAAGAAGGGCCCTTTCTCTTTCCCTTCTCACCTGCCACCGGGCACCTCTCTTCCTCGCTAGGTACCAACCTTGTTCCGGCTTTTGCTCCCCTCGCCATCCAAGCCTTTCCGTCCCGGGTCAGAGTCCCTTGCAACCTCGAAAAAACGGCGGCCCGTTTCTTTGGTTGCCTAAAATCCCATGCCGCCGGCACCACTTCCTCTTCTTCTACTACCACCTCCTTACGCAACGCAACAACACACTCTGCTGGCCCTCCTCCATTAGGTCCTTTTGATATTTCCATCTCTCCGTCAACGACAGTCTACTTAGATTGCAACCCGGTCTAGTCGGCAACCAGCATACTCGGTATCATCTGGAACCTTGCTCTCACCTCCCACCGCGCTCACCTGCCTGCTTGCTACTTCGCCGTCACCTAGCACACGCCTCACCCGCTGCGCCAAACTAGCTCACCTTGACGTTACCACCACATGTCTCGAGCCGTCTAAACGCATCCAGCATCGTTCCATCTATCCACTTACACGCTAGCTTGATCGCAGCTTCATCTATATAACTCTTGCTTCCCCGGAGACCCGCCCTCCCGACCTGGACCCCTTCTCATTACATGGTATGCAGCCGCTCGTTTCTGCAATGGCCAACTTCAGGAAGACCTTCTTCGCCGCCATCGTCAAGAGCTTGCTTCGTGGCAAGTCTCTGATCCAGGCCATCATCGCCTATTGGATGCACCCCTCGGACTCCAATCATGATGTTGCGCCACAAAAGAGTCTCCAGGACTTTCTCAAGGACGCTGAAGCCTCTCTACTCGGCCCCGTTAGTGGCGATGGCCTTGTCAAACTTTCTGGTGACCTACGCAAACAATTCTTCGACAACTTCCAAGCCGACGGCGAGTCCATGCTGCCCTCTTACAGCCACCAACTACCAACTGGTCAAGAGCATGGCCAATATCTTGCCCTCGATGTCGGTGGCTCGACCCTCCGTGTTGCCCTGGTAAAGCTCTCAGGCCGCAGCGCTTCCGGTGCCGGCAGTGACTGTGATATTGTCAGCATGCAGGTCTTTCGAATTACCCGAGATATCAAGAACCTTGAGGGAATGGCCTTTTTCAACTGGATGGCCGCTAGGATAAAGGAAACTTTGTCGTCTAGCTTGAAGCAGGACAAAGTCACGGATAAGCCCATCCCTGTGGCTCTGGCCTGGAGTTTTCCCATTGAGTAAGTCTTAGCCGCCGTACCCGGCTCGTCATGTCCAATGCTAATCTTGTACAGACAAACGTCGCTCGGTGGTGGCAAGTTTGGCAGAATGGGCAAAGGGTTCCTCGCCGACGTTGGTCTTTTGGGACAGGATTTGGGCGACATCATCAAAAAGGCGAGTGAGAACGAGGGACTCAACGTTGAACTCCAGGTCATTGTCAATGACTCGAGCGCATGCCTGCTCTCGCGCGCCTACTCTCACCCTTCAACTCGATTCGGTCTCATTCTCGGTACTGGCGTCAATATTGCCGCCTACATGCCCGTTTCCACACTCGGCCGTGCCAAGTTTGGCGTCCGGCCGGCCGGCTGGTTTGACGAGGCCAGCCACGTCATTGTCAACACTGAGCTGGGCATGTTTGGCACGGATATCCTTCCTTTGACTCGGTGGGACGAGCTTCTTCTCAAGGATCACGCCAGGCCCGAGTTTCAGCCTCTCGAGTACCTGGTCAGCGGCATGTATCTTGGCGAGATTGTCCGCATCGCCATTGTTGAGGCGGTTGCGTCGGCCGGTCTTCTTGGAGGCGTACTTCCCGAGTCACTTACCACGAATTACACCCTCGGAACCGATACCATTTCCATGATTGGAAGGTATGTCAAGTCATATTCTCTTATGTTTTCTGATGCTAACCACAGTATAGTGATTCGACATCAGAGCTCACTGAAGCCATTAAGCTCTTTTCCGAACGTCACCCCTCCACGCACATCCCCACCACAGCTGACATGGCTGCCATTAAGGCGCTCGCTACTTTCGTCTCTGTTCGCTCCAGCGCTCTTGTTGCCACCTGCCTTTACACGCTCTGGGACGCTCGTCTCGAGGGCGAGAGAGACCTGGTCAAGACGCTCCCGGCAGACTCTCCTCTGCGCAAGCGGGTCGAAGAGGACATTGAGCTGGAGAAGACGACGGTCTCGTTCAACGGGAGTGTCATTGAAAACTTTCCCGGCTATCTCGAGAGCTGCCAGCGGTACATTACCGAACTGCTGCAGAGCAAGGGATACGCCAAGACTCGAAGCATCGAGCTCGTCATCGCCAAGGAGAGCTCGCTGATTGGAGCCGCCGTTGCTCTAGCATGCATCAACCCAGAGGCATAAATGTATTTACAAGACCTTGGGGTGATTTTGCACATACTGCCGCTGTCCTTATTTCGCCACTGTTTATATCTTATCTTTGTACTTTTTGGGATTTGGGATTTGTTTTCTACCAGGCATTGGGGTGTGCGACTCAGATGTCAGCACGCATAGAGGCGCAGGCTAGCATTGTTTGATTTTGTTTGACAAGGCGTACATTTGGGCTATTTCTACTTGAAGGGTCAGGAATACATGTTCCGCATTCTTCTTCTTTGTCCTCGCGATCTGTCACTGAACCGGCGTCTCCTCCGGGACGGGACTTCAGCGGCCCGTTGACAATGTGTGTAATTTGCCCAAATATGTTTCTAGTTGCCCTTATAACAAGCTTGTCAAATTTAATTTTTTTTAAAACACGTGTTTGCGCTCGTTTTCTGAAACCCGTTGCCGTCTTCACAAGCGACGGGATGAGCCCCCACCCCCTTCCAATTGGCGGGGCACAAGCGGGAACGCGGGGTGGTACCGGCGTCTCGAGCTCGTGACAGCTTCGGAGGGTCTCTCTCTCTCTTTGCCCATTACAACCACCGACGCTCTCCCACGAGCTGAGAGCTGGTTCCTTCCTCCCACCCAAAACCCCATCCTTCAGCGAAGCAATAAAGTCAGCCACAACCATGTTCCAAACAGTACGTTTGTCCCCCCCCTTGGCGCAGCGCGCGCGCGACCAAGACCAATCACTCTTTTGACAACCTGAACCCAGAAGAAACCCTATTCGGCCGTGACAGCCACGATTGAGAACCTGACGACGGAAGACTTCGCCGAGGACGACCTCTCGGGCATCGTCGAGCTGATCGAGGCCATTTCGCTGCAACCCGGGGGCCCGACCGAGGCGGCGCGCGCGATCCGCAAGAAGCTCAAGTACGGCAGCCCGCACCGGCAGCTGCGCGCGCTGGCGCTGCTCGACGGGCTGATGGAGAACGCGGGGCCGCGCTTCCAGCGCTCGTTTGCGGACGAGCCGCTGCTGGAGCGCCTGCGCGTGTGCGGCGCCCCGGCGACGACGACGGACGACCAGGCTGCCGTCCGCGACAAGTGCCGGGAGCTGTTTGCGCAGTGGCGCCGCTACGCGGGCACGCCCGGCATGGAGAAGATCGCGCGGCTGCACAAGGTAAAAAAAAAGATCCAACAAAACAAGTGGTGGTGGTTCTGGCGAGAGAGTACGAGGCTGACGAAAAACCCCCGGGTGGAAACGAATAGGAAACACCGAGACGAAAAGTACCCGTCACGCAGGAACAGTCCAAGGTCATCCGCGAAACCGAGGCGAATCCCTTTGGAGACGACGAAGAAGAGGAAGCCACCCGCCGCGCCGCCGCCGCCGCTGCCGCATCCTCCCCCAGCGAATCCTCCTCCCACAAGCACGCCCGGACCGCCTCTCTCGGCGGCGGCGGCGGCTTCTTCTCCTCCTCCCGCAGCAGCAAAGACTCGACAGCGGGCAGGAAAAAAAGCAGCAGCGGCAAGCGGGGCGGCCGCCGGTTCAACCTCGAAGCCGAAAAGGAGCAAATCTACGCCGTCATCGCCGACGCCTCGCTGGCGAGCGCCGAGCTGCTCCAGGGCCTGCAGAGCGTGGACCGCGAGCGCGAGCGCGTCTCGGCCAACCAGGCGACTGTGCAGCGCTTCGAGGCGTGCAAGCAGCTGCGGCGGCGCGTGTTGCGTTATGTACGTTTATATATATACATGGATTTGGGAGGGACGGGCAAGTGGGAAAAAAAGATGCTAACGACGGTTGACCTGTCGAATGTTATAGATTCCAAACGTCGTCGGACACGAAGCGCTGCTCAAGTCCCTGCTAGCCGCCAACGATATGCTCGTGCACGCGCTCATGACGTTTGAGCAGCTCGACCACTCCATTGACGCCGACAGCGACTCGGACGACGAGATTGCCGAGCAGGCGCATCTCTACCACAGTAAGTTATTTCCCCCTCCCCTCCCCGCTTCTCTCTCCATTGCCCGTCTCCCCCTCGTCACAGTCTAACATGGTAACTACACAGTGGTCAGCGGACACAAAGGCAACGACCCGGCCACCCACGACCTGCCCGCCGCCGTGGACCGGCTCACCGTCAACAAGCCCGACGCCACCACGGCGCGCACACCACCACCACCACGGCCGCCGGCCATCTCGCCCAAGGCGCCGCGCCGACCGACCGTGGTCGCGCCGGGCGATGACTTGGAGAGCGCGTCCGAAGACGAGGACGAGGATGACGATCCGTTTGGGGACAGCCACGTTGTCGGCACGCCGGCTGCGGTGGAGAGGCACGAGCCGCGCTGGTGAGATGGGGGGAGGGGATTCCCGCCGCCGCGAAAAGCAACCAGTCCCGCGGGTCGGCAGGCCGCCCGCCCATTGGGAGCTTGTTCAGGAGAGGGAAGAGGTTGGGGCACTTTGTTTCGCAAGGGGACGACCATGCGAGGCCGTTGCTAAGAAAGTGCGCTGTGCCTTTACGTGAGCATGGATGTCATGGCTTTGTTATTGCTCGCAGTTGTAATGGGCATGTCACGAGGCCCGTCTCAAATCATATAATGGCAAAAGAAAAAACGTATATACCACATTGTTTTTGCCGTACTACACCTCGCAACAATTCGGCACGCAGATCAACTCCCCAAGCACACACAAAGCTCTAAATGCATAGAGAGAGAGAGTTCAAGCAGGGGATATGCGTGAGGGTGTAAAAGTCGGCTGCACCGCGGACATGTCGTGCGTTTTGCAGCTTGCCAGTTACCCCCCTCCCCCTCCCCTTTGGTGCGTTTCGTTTCTTGTGATGCCTACTCCCTTCCCTGCCTGTCAAAACGAGTTCCGGACGCGGGCTGGTATTCCGAGGCCCCCCCGTGCCTGATGCGCTGCATACGTCTCTAAACAAAAAATGGTCCTTTCGCTCCCTGCAACACCGGGTAGTTTCTGCTTGTTTCCCCTGACTATTCACGTCCCTTTTTATTTTCCTTTCGACATGTAGTATTCTTGCTGCGTGTATACTGATACAGTCTAGTGCTCTCCATATGATCAAGACACCACCACGACTCTTCTCACCCCGGCGAGAACCAAAGTATGATTCAAAGCATGCATGGTTATTTTCCCGTCAAAATAACGGGCCTTTTCATTCAGCACCTGCAGCAAGGGTGCCCCTTGTCTTCCTACCAAGTCGGTTCCCAGCCTCGTCCACCTCCACAACATGGCAACACGATACGACACTGCCGCACGGCACAGACGTTGAAACGGATAATCGGCTGCGGGGTGAAGCAGCGAATGAGAGCGGGATCCGAGAGGTCTAGATAAAATGCAAGTGACGATATTGTCCTGGTAGCCACTTTGTACCCATAGTTCTCTGGGGACACTGCTTCCTCTTCAGCTCATGGCAACATAGCTGGGGCTGTCTCCCGCCCTTGGCACTGAGTATGTCGGATCATTGTGCCTCTAGAATATGCCGCGCAACAGGCCAGATACCGACGGCAACACCCGCTCTCCCGGGGTGAAACAGCAACGGCACCACAGACTCGGCATCGTCCCCCTCACCGACCTCGAATGTACTTCGTCATCGTTCGTTCATTGGAATCTAGGTTTAGTATCTCTATCCCAGTCCCAGAGGATCCGACGATCCCCTCTAAAACCAACGACTGAGCGAGAACGAAAACTCGCCATGTGGCGTCTGGCGTTCAGTTCAGTCACAGCTTGGGGGATGTTGCGCCACGCCCTGGGTTAATGCGATGCGATGCACGACGTACATGACGATTGCAGACGACGCTCGCCACCAGAGACCACTCTTTTACCAAAATAATCCCTGTCGATGCATTGCAGATCGTGAAACGAGCAGGTCCTCCCCCGGCCTCCGCCTCTCACCCTCTCCCTTCAAAGTTTTGACAATACGATCGATTTGACTGGCAGTCGTTCATGTATGCCAAGTGCCGCAAGGTGCATGCCGCTGGAATGAGCCGTCCCGATATGGTGAGAATGTACTGCCAACCCTGCCTCGCAGCCGCGGAACGGCACTGTACAGAGGATTCCTGTCGGTCGTCGTCAAATGCTGTTGAATTGATTGCAGCCCCCTGAGTTCAATACCACCAACATCCCTCTTCTAGAGAAAATGTAGCATTGGCAGAAATAATCACTTTCGACGTAAGAGAGGCCACTCGAAGACAAGAATATCCGGGAAGCACCCCTGCGCCCCTTTCTTTGCCTGCCCCGTCCGGCGGTCGAGTTCGCAGCTACGGATGCCACCCGTAAGCCCAGTCGTAGATCCTAGGTCAGTGATTCGCGGAACGATGCCTATCCTGGTTTTTCAAACTGAAAAAAAAGGGACGCTAGTCGCGAATCAAGGCAGGGCTTGGTGGACGCGCGCCGGGATGTTCGCTCTTGGGTTCGCATGTAAACAAAAATACAGCGTCCGTCGGATTTCGCAGAGTATTCCGTCAGATAGAATCCCTGTCTCGCTTCGGCGCTGTCGCCCTGTCAAAAACACTGCAAAGGTCGAAGTGCGTTGCATCACTCGTGCTGGTCAGTCTGCAGGTTGCAACTCTCAACGTGTTCTCGCCGGCTGCTTTCCGGCGCCAAATAAACTTTCAAGGACAGCCTCGCAGAAAGATGATGCCAGTCGGGTGCTTTTCTCGTCATCCCTGTCAAGGGGCTGTGAGGCACTCAGTATCGGTAAATAGATTCAATGCCATCGAACCGGGTTTGGCATCATCTCCGCGCAGCTGGGCCGTGTGTGAAGCACGTCCGGCATATCGTGGAGGTCAGTCACACCACATCCCTTCCTCAAGTATTCTACCAGGATCTCAAGCTTTGCCGAGACAGTACAAGGTGCATTGTCGTGTTTATATGCTTGTTATAGTTACCCTGGAACCTTTCAACTGTTGAGGACGTTGACCTACCCTAAGGTACTTTGAACATTCCAGAAATTACTTCACATCACTCCAGACAAAACCACAACTGCCGTCAGTAGTAGGGGGCGTTGCATGGTGGTGAAAGAGTGATGAAAAGCAATCTCTAGCGTTGCGCTGCCACGGAGCTCACCGGCACTGGCTTCAAGTGGTTGTCCTCAAAAAGCGTGTAACCAAGGTAAAGCCGCTGATCATTCGCCTCGCGTTGCGCGCCACGTTGCCTACATTTTAACCGATGATGGCTTACGGTAGGTAGACTCGTATACTCTTGCGTGGTATACTGACTAGGAATATCAACTCCTTCGTGTGTACAGATTCACAACGAAGTTGTCGAATGGAAACAAGTTGGTCCTGGACAAGGCGATCAAAAATTCTTCCTTTGTAGTGAGCTCCATCCTGGAGTTAAAAACTTATCCCAGGCAGCAATACTCTCTCTCGAGGCAAGATTTCGTGCGCTGCAAGCGTAGTAAAAGTACTGCGTAGTAGTTTTGCCCTTCCTTTACAATCCTCACTAGCTGTCGTTCAAGTCGCCATGGACCAAGCCGTGCCGTAAGCATGTCACCGCAATCGCGTACGTATTCCCTCACGTCGTTTTCTCCACCGAGATAGACATAGGAAGACTGCAGGTTTCAAAATGGAGATTCGTCGGGTTTGGGACGGTTGCCAAGCTCGGCCCGGTTTGAATTCCTCGACGCCGCCTTGGTAGACTTCTTCAGGGTGCCCCGAGAAACACTGCCACTGCGATTGCAACCAGGCTAACTGGTTGCCTTCTAATTGTTTCACGTTTCTTCACGCCGTATATGTCCTCGTGTCGCTGCTGGTCTGGGGAGTTATCCGCGATGGTGGGTTGAATTGTTTATGCACTGTATTGCAACTAGCCTCAGTTTTGCAATGCTGCTGACGACTCAGTCCGGCTACTGCCGTCTAGTGGCATATATATTTCCCAAATACAGTATCGTTGAGGTAACCGTATATTTTTCCCAAATTCTTTCTTGGTAAGGTAACCTTAGTGTGCAAGGCTGTGCTGTGTACATCACAGTTGCCGGTACACCCAAGAATGGACCCCGAACTGTGGCTGAACATCAACGTTGACTAGTAGACATCTCGCTTGGCTAGAGAATTGCGGCATCGTTCAACACTTTGAGACAACGAGTCAAACGATAGTTTTTTGCGGTGGGGAACCTTTTAGCAATCTCCCTTTGTGAGTGGGAGTGCAAACAATCAGTCCCAACTCCATAATAGCGTAGGTGTCGGCCTAAAGGCAAACGAAACGGACGTTGAAACGCTGACAGAGCTATTGTGCTCCACCGCGCGTATGGACTCTTTTTAACTTCGAAGGCGATATGCAGGTACTGGGATGTATCAATGGATGCCAACTATTGTTTCGTGTCAACGGATGTCATCTTGCCGTCCCTCGTTTTCAGCCTGCTCGTCTAGTTGTCGTCCGACTCAGCAGCCACGAGGGAGAGTGAAACAAAGATCTGTCAGGCCAAAAATGTGAGTGGAGTTGTTGAATATCTGTTGGCAAACTGGCGTGTCTGGCTCCCAACTAGGCAGTGCGCCACTCTCGTGTACAGTTGTATTATAGTAGACTTTTTTGTTAGCTACGTCGCTGTGTGAGATGCGGGACTACCAACAAGCTTTCGCACCACAGTGAATGCACCAGTTTGCAGGCCGAATATTCGGGTTGTCAGAATCTTGACCGAGACGAGCCCGGACGCTAAAGGTTCCGGTGGCAGATCCACATGCTGTCACGCCGAGAAGTTGACGCTTATAGCATCGAGTGATGCAAAACCGGAGGGGAAGAGATAATGGGGCGCGAGGCTGTTGAACTTGAGTTGGGTTCCCGCTGCTGTTTTTCATGCCGTCGGCTTAGGCGGTGAACGACCTTATTGACCCAAGGATGTGGACATGATTATGGTGAAGGCTCGTTTTCAAGCCCGCGGCTTGGCGGGTTTCGTGTCAACATTTCGAGTGACGAATCGTCATGATTTCGAAGACGGTAGATCAATTACCCGGTAGCCGGCAGCCTTTAAAAACAAATCGGGCTAGATAACGCCAGAGTGTAGGCTCACGGGCCAGTTCGCGGACAAGGCGGATTCGCCAAGTCGAAAGCAATTGGACCAGAGGGGGGGGGGGGCAGCGAATTGGGATTCTCGGCTCTCAGCGCCATCGGCGAGTTATGCGGTCCGCGCAAGCGATCGCAGACAACAAACGGCCGGAATCCTGGCCCAACCCCCGAAATTGTGCGCTTGGAGCAACAGATCGCATGTGAGGGCTGCCGGACCACAAGCGGCCAGAACCGTAATACCATCGCCCCTCATGTAGTGGCGCGCGTGCACCGAACATCAAGCTTATCAAGAGTTGCGTGTCTAGTTAACTTGGCGGCGCCAATGTATGACAGACAGGCAAGAGTCCTCGCGGACTCAAATTGAAAACACATGGAATCAGTGGAGCACGAGGGCCAGAATCAGGCTGGAAGCTCGCTGACTTCACCTGGAACAGCCAGTATTGAATGGACATGTCTCACACGACCGCCGAGACTATGCATTGCCACAATCTGACCGTCGGCGATTGCGAGATCCTCGGACGGCACAGTTCAGGAGTCTTCACAAACCACTGGAAAAGGTTGTCTTACTACCGAGCGTGTCAACCTGCACTGACTGACAGCAGGCAAATGGAGCGCTTCTTGTCAATTTGGTGCCAGTATGGTTGTAATGGGAGAAAGCAGGTGGGTTCAGCCATCCCGTCCCGTGTCCCATCGCAGCAGTGTGGCGTAGACCAAAGCTATGACCTGAAACTACCTACAGTGGGTGTAGGTAGTCAAAGGTTGGCACTGCTGTTCACTAGAGCTCGCCATGAGCAGGGGTATAATAGGGCCTGAAAAGACTTGACACCAAGGCCAACCGCCAAAAAAAAAGCCAATCGAGGGTAATCGTAATCGTAGCCCGCAAGGCACTATTACCTACCACAAAGTAGATGATGCAGAAGCCAATCTAAAGAACATCGGTAGTTGACGGGTTGCAATCCGGACGGAGAGGATTGTGATGACCAACTAAGGACCAAACGCAAAGCTGCCAAGAGTATCTTCTAGCAGATGGTGAGAAGGCGCGAGTGTGGGGACTGTGAATGCGCTGGCTAGGGAAGTAGCTGATACGCTCACGTCGCTATTTTAGCAACGTGTCGCAGACGGACAAGGTGCTGGCTGCATCCATCTTGATAGACGCCGATTGTTGAGTAGTAAACCGATGTTAGTAGGCGTTCGCTTCGGAGCGACTTTTCGTCAGCCACAAAATACGCCATGGCTGCTCGTGAAAGTTCTCGAAGGGTCAGAGAAGGGGGTGCATGTGCATGAAGATTGCCGGGGTCGGTATGCTGGCGCAATAAGAGGCTTGTGGACTGCTAGGTTCAACTGGTGGACGGACTGCTACTGGCTGGCAGGTGACGATCAGTTGACAGTGCCTAACCATGAGGCTGGGATGGTGGATCACGGGGCAAGGGCTCAGACGTCCTTCTGGAAGGCTTCTAGACCAAGCTAACCCCAGACTGGACGAGTGACGCAGACGCCATTTCGGGCACTCCACACAGCCAAGCAGACGGTGAGAAAGTGAAGAGTCCTGCAACAGGCAGGGGTAATTTGGGATACGAGATACTGAACCGGGCCAGACGTCGAGTAGCGCGGTTGTGGGCTGGCTGGCAAAACTGGATAGTGTCAGGGGACTGAAATCAATCCAACAGCGTTTGGACGACTGACAGGAATCCTTAGCTTATACCATCTGGTCTCGCAGTTGTTCTGCCAATGAATTGTTTGCTCAATATAGGCAACTATCATGTTGCTGTCCCCGGATCGGCTGCTGCAGAGATTTCAGCTGGTGCAATTGACAAGACGAACTTTCGTTGCTGTGGCACCAAATAATATCGCCGCTTGCTCGATCTACGGGTACGCCCATATGACGAGTCGATATTCTCAGCAGTAGGCCAGCCCTGACAGTATGAAGGCAGAAGGGTTTCCGAATAGGTTCTTGCGTACTAGCGGTGGGATAACCACCAGTAGTCTTCTCCATGTTTAGGAACCCAATAACAGGTCTAGGCCAACAGATCGCTGTTGTGACATTGTACCGGCAACTGTGAGGTGATTTACATGGCTGATGCCAGAATTTTGCGGTCGATGTGGACTTGACGGAGAACAGCCAGGCTGTGCAGGTTGACACTACGCTGCAAAGGGTAGTATAAAAAGTCGGTCACGCGTCGCACACGGATTCGAGAGCAATGGACTCAACGGAAGGAAATTTTGAGATTGAAATCCATTCTGGTCCTCGACATGGACAGCAATGTTGAAGCGCGAGGAGATCTGGTCCCTGCAATCGGTGGGTCAGTCCGTGCGGTACATGGCGATGTTAGGTCAAGCACTGATCCCTGCAAGGCACCGGGGCAGATCTCCATCGAATCCGTGGCTCTCTGCATTGTCCACATGGCTGTATTGTCACCAGTCGACAGGCGGCAAGACTAGAACCCTGGATGTTGGTACAGATAAAGTTGAGGGGCGCTCTGATAAGTCTGGATTGGTGTGGCAGTCGTTTATTAATTCAAGGTTTCTGGCGCGGCAGGGTAAGGGAAGCGCGATGAATGATGGGGCGATGGCTGCCAGTAGTTGAATGAGGGTTGGCCGATCATGTTGGGATTGACAGAGAAATATCTGGCCGGGAGGATGCCGGTTGCGCTTTCAATATATGCGGATGCCGTCTTTTTGAAGCGTTTTAGGCGGGAATATTGATGAGGAGGCGGATGGTGTCTGTCTGGCCAGAAGAACAAGGACGCAGAGCCAGCTGCACGAGTCGAGGAGGCGAGCGGCAAGCAAGCGAGAGTCGAAGCATGGCTCTAAGTGAAGGCACGTTTCGAAGCTACGTGATAATAACAGTCCTCTGATTTGCCGTTTCCGAATGCAAATAGCAGCGAGGGGATTGTGATGAATGAAACCATCCACGAAGCTGAATGTTGTGCAAACGAGCAGCAGTTGGTTGGTATCAGCACAGTGGATGTACGGAGTTGACTGGAGTGTCAAGTGGGTTCCATGGTTGGTGGGCACTGCCTTGCGCAGAAAATTAGGCAGAAAATCCTGGGCGAGTTGGATATCCGATTGGGTATATGATCGGATCAGGGTGATAACCACGACACAGGAGTGACGGTCATTGTGTTTGGATGGGACGAAAGAAACGGGATGGTTCTGATGCCACGCATCCCAGGGTAGCTGGACAACACTTACAGTCAGCTTTATGTTACCAGCGAACGAGCTGTCATTACAGTATGCCAAACCGATAACGTGGCAGTCAGTGACAGTATCATGTACGGAGAGGTAGGTGATTCTGAGAAGCGCAGCGTCCCGGTCAAACCAATATTTAATATTTAATATCAGATAGCCAGATAGCCAGCATGAGTCTTTTATCTGCTTGCTCGCTTGCTTGGTGCTTGCCTGCCCAGCTCCTCTCCAACTCTGCCGGGCCCCACGCGTACTGGAGGTGGACACTTTTAGGCCGGTGGTGGGGGTGTTGACGGTGGTCGCGAGCCCCCTGATTGTCAGAGCTAGTGGCTTCCCGTAAGTTGCGACTACAGCGCACTGGTAAAAGGGCATGACAGGGTGTCCAAATCCAAATCCGCACTGTGACGGAAGGGGGTCTTTTGTCGAGAACCAGACCTGCGACAACAGGCTCAGAGGGAGCTACATATATCTGGCTCCGGTTGGGCCAAATCGAAACGCTCTTGTTTCGTTTGCTAGTTGCGCGGCGGGGAAGGAGTTGGCTGCAGACTGGGACAAGTAAGTCCACGAGAGCGCTGCTGTTCCGCGCTCGTAGCTTTAGTAGCTACCTTAGTACCTATACACCGCCTTGCCACCCTATCACGCCGGCCATGTCTATTCGAATAGCAAGGTGGCAGCGGAGTCAATGTGAATGTGAATAGCGATAAGACATGCACTCGCTACGATCAGACAAGTCAATCTGTATCCGTATTTGCGCCATCTGGCCGGGCGTCGTCTTGGGCCTGGTGGCGGGCGAATAGAGCAGAGGGCATTGACGCGAATTGCGAATGGTAGACACCCTGGGAGGGGCGAAGGGTCCCTTGTTTCTCGATACACGCCTCCATTAATACACGCCGCTTGGGCAAGCTATCCTCTATCCGTAAACCGGTTGAGACTGTGCTTTGCTTGAGAGAGTTTTTATAAACAAGCGAGCCTCCTCGCCTCTGTAGGACGGGCCTGTTGCGATGAGATCCGACTTGTTCACTACCAATTGTTGAATGCATCAAGTGTATTCCCTAATTTACTCGCCCTCATTCTCATGTACCTACCGGACTCTTATTACTGATACTAAACACGGCAACTCTGCAGCCTTGCATCCTCACCCCTGCTTCCGCGGAACTGGCCGAGACCAACAACAGACCAAACAAGCCCAGAGACGGAATCATTCAAACAAGAAAAAATTCACGGGTTTAATTAATCTGGCCTGTCAGAGATCGACAACCCCGGACAACTGCCCAATTAGAGAGGCAAGCCAAGAGCGCACACACACGGCAAGACAAAGCCCAAAGGAACACAGATTCCTTTGAGCTCACCCACACATTATTAGATCGCTCCATTTTCGAGTCGGTACGTCGTTTCCGATTGTTTTCTTCATTGTTGTTTTTTATATCCTACCCCCCGGGCGCGCGCGTGTCGTTACGCCATTTGCTGGCGGCGCCCCAGTCGTGATGTGCAGCAATTTCACGGCCGGCTGGGTTTGCAGCCCTGTGTGGGCGTTTGGGCGTTTGCCCATTCGCCCTGGCCGAGAGGGGGGGTGATGGGATGGGATGGGCAAAGTTGACCAAGATTACGGCGAGACAGCAGAGCGGGAAAAGGTGAAGAGCGGGTGTCGCTGGTGTCGCTTCGCTCGCCGTACCCTCCCCCTCCCCTCCCCCTCCTTCTCAATGAGCGAAAGATCTGTTTTTGGTCTTGTTTGCCATGGATGGAAATCGAGTGATGTGGTTGGACGCCTCGCGGGACTTCTTGGGCAAAGTTGCTGGAGAAGGAAGCAGGCGTGTTTGCTTTGTCGTCGCTACCTATTTTTGCCCGGCGCGGTTTTCTGCTGGCGCGACGGCCAAGAACCCCTGCCCGCCTGCCCGTCTAGGTACAGAAAGACAATTTTACCGCAGAAAGGTGTACCTTTTGCTACGGACAAGAAAGGTCCGGTTCGGCCTCTCACCGAAAAGCCTGCCAAAGCTGCCAACACCTGCCAAACCTGATACACACATTCTCCATCTAGGATCTATTTTGAGGGGAAAACGACGCACTCGTCCAAATGAGAGGAAGACTTGATTGTCTTTTTTTTAATGAGTCTTCTTTTTTTGGTCGTTTCTTCTATTCTTGTACCCGACATCGCCAACTCCCGGAAGGTCTCAAGTGAGACTTTTGGGAACGGTAGCTGTACCGGTGACCCGCCAATTGTTTGCTGGGGCCGCTATACAATTCGTACCCTGTACCCTGATTTACAGACAGCGGCGGCACCCACTGGCAAAACCCACCACGCCCACTACAACCCCCCCCCCCGTCCCGTACCAGCTCTAGATGCAGCCCAAGGCCTTGGAAAGCCAAAAGACCCCCCCTTGTTGCGAATGACATAAAGCGCGACCATGGCCCCAACAGGGCGGCTACAGGAGAAGCAAGACACGACGGCCAGAAAACGACCAGGGAACACCCGACTGGAGAATAATAATAACAAAGTTTTATAAAACCAAAAAAAGTTATTACGGCTTGCCGGCGGGCTTCACATCACACTACGATTTTTTCTTCTTCTGCCGTTACGGCCCTTTTACGCCCACCCGCTTGTTCCAGGACCCAAGGGGAACCTGTCGTCGCCGTGTCTTGGTCCAGCAGCATATTTGCCTATTTTCCCGAATACATCTCCATTTCCTTCGTTTTCTTCTTCTCCCTCTTTTCTATTTCTCTCCTGCTTCTTTCTCTACCAACTTCATTTTCCCCCTTCTCGTCTCACCGTCTTACCGTCTCATTCGTGGCGACGTGGCTGACCACCTAGACTGACTCGCAAAAAATCAGACACAGCTCTGTCTGTATCGGCTAGTCCGCACCGCTTCCGCAGCTTGCACCACGGTACCTCGCGCTGGCCATTCACAAACTCCATTCCTGCCCGATAAATCTCATCGTCAGCCAGAGACAATTTCCTCGACCGACCGCCAACTTGGCTAGTCCGGCGTCTTGGCTCCCCTAGCGGCAACATTCAACCTTTCTTGTGCATCGGGTGCCCCGATTATCTTTTTGCATCGCGCAAGATTCGTCTCGACTCGTGTCGTCTTGTGTCGTCTTTGCTTGTCTGCGCCTGCGTCTGCGTTTGCACTTGCCTGTCTTGCGCTCACCATCGTCACTTTTTTTTCCTCGACGCGCCGCCGCTACCGCCACGCCTCTGAGACACCCAAGTGCCCAGTTTCATCATCTACACCACATCTACCACTTTTGTTTTTCGACCGCCACAGCTTCCATCCTGGGTCATCACCACCCGCTTCTTATACCTAGCACCAGCCAGCCTGTGTCCTCTGCGCCTGCTCCGTGCTACGCACCAGTACACATCTCCCCCGAGCGCAGAACCTGGCCCCGTGCGCCAACTCCACGATCAATCTCCGTTTGCGAAACCTTCGTTCCTGCCATCTGCGCCGCTGCAGTGCGCACGTCCCACGCATCGGACATCGATTTCGAAATACATTCGCTCGCTCCTCGACGCGCCCAGATTCCTCGTCTGGCCTGTAGACTGCTGCCTGCCTCGACCCCCGTCGCACTCTGGCCAAACCCGACCACCGTAACACGCCGCTCTTGCTGTGTACGGTCCGGGCCTTGTGATGCTATCTGTGCTCCCCCAGGCAATGGACCTGACGAACGTGCTGAATAACAGAGGAGGCACCATCGTACAACACCAGCATCACTTTGCAAACGACTTCATGAATCAACAACACCATCTTGCCTTTGGCAAGCCCGAACCAGATATGGATCGCTCAAACTCGCCGCACATGTCCGATCATTCGGCCTATTCCGCCCATACCATGCCGCGATCCTACCACTCTCCCGCTCTCATGCAGGCGCCCATGCACATACCGAGCTCCATGTCCAATAACATGCACGTGCAAGGCTTTCCCGATATGCAACATCTAGCAGCGGTTCCCAACATGGCCATGGCGCACATGCCGCCTCCCGCCCCCATGGACGACGGCAAAAAGCAAAAGACACACCAATGCAGCACCTGCGACAGCGCCTTTGCCCGCCGAAGCGACCTCAGCCGCCACGAGCGCATCCACTCGGGAAACAGACCCCATGCCTGCGACGTCTGCGGGAAACAGTTCATCCAGAGATCTGCCCTGACCGTTCACAAGCGTGTTCATACCGGCGAGAAGCCCCACCAGTGCGAGACGTGCGGCAAGAAGTTTGGCGACAGCAGCTCCCTTGCCAGACATCGACGAACCCATTCCGGCCAGCGACCCTACGTCTGCCCCTTTGCCGACTGTCAAAAGACGTTTACGCGTAAAACGACATTGACACGACACAAGAGCAACCATGTCGGCACTGTCGAGCAATCTGCAGTCGCCCGAGCTGCCGCCCTGGCAAGCGCAAACGCCAAGAATCTCATCCAGCCTCGCTCCGATGGCGATCACCTTTCCAGCCATGGCTCGCCTCTTACTACGCCTTCGCCTGCCCAGCGAGCCATGTCCATGTCTCCTGGCATGGACATGGCGGCTGGCATGAACCGCCATCCTGCTGATTTCCAGTACCTTCAGCAGGCAGGACCTCTACCTGCCCACCTTCGTGTTGGTAGCCCTGCGTCGACATCGAGCGGATACAGCAACCCTGGTATGCGCCCGACCTCGCATCCCACCAGCTATGTGCCGCCGCATACGCTCGAGCCCAGTGTTGAGCACCACCAGCAGGGTTCAAACAGCAGTAACGGTGGCAGCCCTCACATGAGCAATATAGGATGGCCGTCGCCGTCTCAGCACATGCAGTCACCTTCTCAGCACATGCATTCGCCGTCCCAGCATATGCAATCGCCCGCTCAGAATGTTGCTGCTGGCTACGTGTATCCTGATCCTGATACATATCCTCCCAACACGGCTGCCATGAACCAAATGTACTACAACCCGCCGCAGCAAATGCGACGGACTCAAAGCACTGAACCAGGGCTGGTCCACATGGCCTAGATGAATCAACTGGATCCAAGCATCTTGGACGACTAGTGCGCCGCAAAGATCGAACAAGAACAAGGCCATATGCAAAACAAACTACGACAATTTGCTGTACATGAATACTCGGAAGGCTATAGATTGGTTGGAGTGTGATACCCCTTTTGCACTTTCTTCATTGGCGAAGTGGTGCTTGTGCTCATGCGTGAGATGAGCATTCGCTGCACAAACGTCATCGCATTCTCTCTTTAATATGAGCATCAGACGATGCATACCACTCGACTCCATTTGACACGAACCTCGACATACGCTCCTACTACTCCCCTTTTAATTAAGACCGCCTTTTTAAAGCGTGGACGACTTTTATATTCTTCACCATGATTTCCTTTTGTCTTTGCATTTCAATTGTTTCATTTTTTTTCTCGCGACGAAATAGACTGGAGGGTTTACAAGGCAACTGCACACATCTATTCTTATTGTTGACGACAACTGGGCGCAGACTTGGCTTTGATCTTCTTCTTTTTTGTCATCACTAGCTCTTGGCGGATCTGTATTTCTCGGCATTTTCTCTTTTTTCCCCTGTTTTTTCTGCGTGGGCTTGTCTATTTGGTATTCGGAATGAAGGGGAAAGAAGGGGCACACGAGTGCGGATTCACATTGGCTCGTTGGGTTCTTTCATATTTGCAAAATTATAGACATCTGGCTTCGTTTTTTACTTGTTGGAATTCTATTCGCCAAAAAATTATACCCTCAATATGAAGTCGCATGATAGCTACACACTTTTGACCCGAGAGGTCGGCTCTCTGATGAATGGGCTTTGTGCAGAAAGCGACTGCTTTGCCCGCCTGCACTATCGCTAGACACAATAAAATGAAGGCAATGCTATAAATGAAAAAGGCATGCAGACTAAACTGCGATGGGGTAGGGTATAGCATACATTGGCGGCAATTACACGTTGTTATGCCCCGGCCCAATGTATGATGTGCCGCATAGAACATCCATCATCTATAGTCGGGAGCTTAAGGCTTGATATTGCTCGTAAATGCACGCCCCCGAGCTACTCATGCATTCTCGTTTATATTACCCAGTCTTTTATTAATGATGGGCTCCACTGAGTACGAGCATCTGCTACTACCTTGACAGCTAGGTATGGCGGCTTATACCACGGCATAGATCAAATGCCATGAATGAAACAAGGCCCGTATGGTGCCTCAGTCACAGCACCTTCTCTTTTGAAAGGTGCAGTTTTGCTCATGGAAGTGAGCAGTGGCGAGACTGACGCCGGAGGGTTCTGATCCGCAGTCAAGTGTAGCCTGGAGCGCGCAACCATGCTGGGTGGCTCGACTACTTCGGACCACGCTGCTCTGACGAAAGTCAAGCTCCTCGTAGAGTTTACAATCGGTTTGCAGTCCTGAATCTGTCATGACTTTGACAAATTTACATGTCTAGGGGCCAATGTCAGTCGCAACATGGTGGTTGGACCCGTCTAGTCTCAGGCCATCTCGCACCAACCATCATTGATGTTGGTCGTACATCTTGTCCGCCTCGCGCCCCGAACGCTCGAACCAGGCTGGAAAATACTCATTCAATAGTAGGCGTAGACAACGTTGTGCTTGATGAGCAAATCCCGACAGCTTCGTCTGGTGCATGCCCCAAAGCAAGCACAATTGGTACATCAGAAACGTCGAGTAGGTGGACAACTCTCGCGACAACAAACTTGAAATGCTGAATTCTCTTGCCATGCCGTGTCTGAGAGGAAGATGATGGTTGTTGTTGTGGACAGGCTTCTCTCCTTGTTGGCTGACTGAAGGCTCCAAGGTGTGCCGCCGTGTCCCGGTTTCAGGCCCGGCCAGCACTGGCGAATTTCCAGCTCTGCGATGTCCATGTAGCAATAATCCGACACGCTTTGGGGACCGCAGCTCTTTATTCTGCCGGCAGTCCACCCATGACGGAGGCAGGCACCATTTTGCGCGTATCGGACCCGCCACTCCTGACGGGCGAGACCAAGCCGTGGCCGCGGGGGATTACCGCCAGAGTGTTGCCCTCGTTCAGGTGCCCGCCGCTGCCGAAAGTCTGCGAGGTCCTGCTTCTCCCTTGTTTGCTGAGAGTACAGCACCTCCTAAGTGTGACTGGATTGCGCATTCTGTCAATGAGACGGATGTTTCAGCGTCTGTGGGATGATTTTAGACGATTACATCATGGGTTGAGACGCGGCGATCCTGGCACGTCTCGATTCAAGAAGTGTTCCACCGCGGGTTGTTGTTGAGTGGTTGGCTTGTAGGGTCTTGATGTGCGATTCGACTGCTGGTAGTCAAGGCGGAGAGATGCCAAGCATAATGACATTCCTGGCGCACAAGCTCGGAAAACCGCCCGGGAGAGTGATTGGCTGGGATTTGCCTGCCTGCAGAAGCTCGGCGGGACAGGGTAAGCAAGCTGTCACGCATGTCTCCCCAAATTGGTCCGCCATGAATGTATCACTGCTTCTAGGTCAGACTAAAGAGGTGTAAGGTGTATGTGCTTTGACACTATCATGTGCATACCGCCATGTCAGGTGCCGTTTGGTGACAAGAGCGACACGGGAGAGTAACTAGTCCATGTATGTGCCATACTAATCAACTAATAACACACACCATAGAAATCACGCTGACGCCAAGACGATGCGCACTTCGAGCAAAGACTCAACCCCGACCTATAACCCCTCCCCGTTTATAAATCGGAAAAAGAATACGCAGCGGCGCAACTCAGCCGATACGTGTCTTTGAAGCATTCTAGAGCAAGGGGGCTTGCAGGTTGGATTCCCTCTGAGCCCTCTGAGCAGAGCAGAGCCGTCCTACCGCCCAACGCCACTGGGTCGTCGCCGTTTTCTGACTGGTTGGGCTTGAGGAACCCTGGTTTCTGTATAAGTAATCAGTATCGACGAACATGACATGTCAGCTTTTCTTTCGCCCTAGGGTCCCTCCAGATGAGACCTCGTTGTCTCCGGACTCTGGCAAGGGCTTGGCAAGCTCTCTTGCCCGATTCTCGTGGGAAACAAAACGTTGCTTGATTATCGGCTTGTCCATCAACTCGCTTATCTAGTACTAGTTGATACGTACCCAGTCAAGGCACAACAAGCCTGTGACTCTTCCCCAATTTTTTTTTAAAACAGAAAAGAAAAACCTTGGGGCCGTTTTATTTTTTGGTGTCGTTTCTGAACTAGTTGTATGAATAAATGTTTTGTCAACATTTTGCCCCGACACACATACCCCCCTGACGCAAATCTTTTTTTTGCCCACCTCAGGAAAATATGCCGATTAAATGATTTGTGATCCGTGCAAGCCACCATGCACATTCAAGCAGCGGGTAACGAAAATACAAGAGGCCAATAAACAGAAGTTGCAGGATGATGCATTGGGCCAAGAAAGCAACAAGTGCCCATGACCAAGCCGGGACACGATGAGTGATTGGTGCGAATGCGAGATGATCCAACGCCTCGCTGCCGGTCCCCTCTTTGATAAGTGCCCCGAAGCTAAACTGTCGGCTAACTAAATCATGAAAAAGAACCCCGCCAACAGTCTTTTTGCAAGTGGTTGAACGTTAGTGTTGCTAGCGACTCGAGAGGAGGGACAGCGTTGTTCGCTTTGACTCAAGGTTGGGCTGGAATGACGGCCACGTGCAACCTGGATAGTACATGATGGATGAAGCGCTTCCTGACGAGAAACATGCAACTACCAACATAGATCGAGAGTCGGCCATGTACGATACGATACGCCCCTCTCTAACGTTAGGTCCCACAGCCGCATGCATCCTCTCTGCCTAGTTCGCTCACCACGCCTTTCAGCCTGGGGCGTTTGATGGCCGCGCAAAGGAGAGTGTGATGAGATGGTGGAACCTAGTAATTATTGGTATTCATTACAGGTCACCCCCATTCTCTCGTCTTTCTTCCTTGTCTCCCTCCCAACCTCCAACCCCACATCCCTTTCCTCTCCGACGCGGTCGGTCGACAGACACCTATTTGCAATACAATCCGTCCACCACGTCCTCTCTCTTCTCATCACATCGTCGTCATCAACCCAACTTTCAATACAAGAAAAAATCGCTGAGCGGGCTCTATACAGCCAGCCAAGGAAAGTTTCCTGCCTGGGGGGGACACGGAAAGCTCGGAACAGCCCACTAACACGGATCGGTTGACGGCATCTTGCTAAACAACGCCACAACTACATTACTCAACAGCAAAGCCAAACGAGTTTTTTTTTATAACTTAATTCTTTTCTTTTGCCGACAATTTTGATGATACTCATCGGCTCTTTCAACCACGCATTGCTTTGTACCTTGAGTCTTGGCATATCACATCTCCCTTCATCCGTGGCGCGAGATTCTGACAACCTCCATTGCTCATCATCTGTCTCTGTGCAAATCACCGACGCATACTGCTCACAGACCCAACTCGTGAGAAATTGAAACAACATTCCTGCTCAAGAGAAAAAAATCGAAAAGTCTTTCTCGATTGAGACTGTATCAAGGGCTGTCACTATATCCTTGCACTCAATCTCCTTGTCGACAACAGAGTCGACCAAAGCGTTATCAGACGCAGCCACCGGACACATCTCGACCAAAGCAAGTGGCAGCTCGTCGTTCTGTCCAAGGCCGATTCCGCGCCAACCCGGGCATCCTCGACCAAAAAAGAGTCCCCAATATCTCTGCATCCTGAGGCAATGACGACGGCGACACCCATGGCCAGCGTGCCCACGCCCTCGCCCACCCCACGCAAGCCGCATCCCTCGGCCCCCCCTGCGGCCGCGTCCCCGTGGGACGTGCGGTCCTGGCAGGACCCTACGAGCCAGATGCTGCTCCCGCAGCTGTCGACGCAGCGGATGCTGGTGCCGGTCGAGGTCTACGTCGACTTTGTGTGTCCGTGGTGCTACCTCGAGGTGCGCAGCCTAGCGGCGGCCATGGACGGGTTCGTCGCGGCGCACCCCGAGGTTGAGTTCGAGGTGCGCTGGCGGCCGTTTTACGTGGCGCCGCTGCTTCGGCGCGGGCCCGCGGTGCTCAACGACGGCGCCGGG